TTTAATTTATCACCTACTTAAAGTTCGACGGACGCTGGGAACGGTTCTTTTTAGATCCGGTTTCAAGGTTCTTGGAGCCAATTGCTCGCGTACTCGACGATTGGAATTTTACGAGAGGTTCGTAAAAAAAACACGATACATCCTCGACCTTGTTGAACACGACGATCTTAAATCTTTGTCTTTCGAAATCCAACACGGTCTGGGGGGGAAATTTTTCCAGTACGTCCTCGATCCTCCATGGTTGGGATAACCCGACTCTCGCGTTATCAATTTAATCACCCGTTAGGAACGACGTTCGACGATGATTGCAGCGGACTGTCGCCCAGCCCGGAAGCAATAAGGTGCAACACAATGTGCGTTTGCTCTCGTTCGACGAGAAACGACAAGGGGCGTTGCTATCGAATCTAACGAGGCTCGATGTCTCAATTTCCGTAAGAACGCGCGTCTCGCAACAGGGGGTGACCAACGAGAGGGTGGAACGCCAGGATTTGCGAGACCGGGGCTGATAAGGCGCTAAAATGATATACCGCCATGACCTGTCCGGAATCTCCTCGATACATCCTGGGATCCCCCCTCCATTTCGTCCACGCGTACCAAACGAAACGTGATCGTTAGCGTCCCGCGCAGGGGATAATCGGCTGACATAAAATAACGAGGAGTTTTAAAAAAAAAACATTTCAGGTAGAGAATCGATGAGAATAATTGGGACGTTCCGTTTCCTCCAGCTGCCCCGACAAATTATTAGATTTCTTTATTCCTGATTGCGCAGCCGCCCCTGGAATTGTTTCTCGATGCTATCTACCACTCTCCAGTTTGTTAGGGGGATTTATTTGATTGAATATCGACTGCTCGAACGGTCGCCGGTATATCGATATCAGCCGTATCGCACCCGTCCACGGGGACCCCAAACCCCCGTGAAACGCGTCCAAAGGGGGTTCCCTCCCCCGTGGATCTTAATCCGGATCGACGTAACGCTCAAGCAGTCACGTTTCGTTTTTTTTCATCACCCCACACCGTGAATCGATCTTAGATCGCGGAGAATAAACAAAGGAGCAGAGAATGGTTTCATTTTTCGCGACACGTGGGGAGCGAAACACTACGTAATAGCCTAAGTCTGACTATGACCGTACCCTTTCCACTTGGAGGGGAAAAAAATTTCAAATCGTTCTGGAAAAATTATTTTTAGTCGCGGGGGTCAATTAGAATCATTTTTGGTGAGCAGACATATCTTCGAAATCCTACGCAGTTTCGAGAAAAAAATTAGACCAGGTTGCCTAAATTTCTCGACGAAATTAAAAAATTTCAAATCGTTCTAAAGAAATTATTTTCAATCGCAGGGGTCAATTACAATCAATTTTGGTCATTAGACATACCCTCGAAATCCTACCCGCTTTTAAGAAAAAAATTCCGAAATGTGGACAAACTTTTCGACGAAAATAAAAAATTTCAAACCGTTCTGGAAAAATTATTTTTAGTTGCGGGGGTCAATTAGAATCATTTTTGGTGAATAGGTATATCATCGAAATCCTACGCAGTTTCGAGAAGAAAATTCAGCAAGTGTAGACATTTTTGGGCGAAATTGAAAAATTTCAAATCGCTTTGAAAAAATTATTTTCAATTGCAGGGGTCAATTACAATCAATTTTGGTCATTAGACATACCCTCAAAATCCTACCCGCTTTTAAGAAAAAAATTCCGAAAGGTGGACAAAACTTTTCGACGAAAATAAAAAATTTCAAATCGTTCTGGAAAAATTATTTTTAGTTGCACGGGTCAATTACAATCATTTTTGGTCAATACACATACCCCCGAAATCCTACCCAGATATCGAGAAAAAAATTCGAGAAGTGTGAAATTTTTCAGCAAAATTAAAAAATTTATTAAATATCGACTGCTCGAACGGTCGCCGGTATATCGATATCAGCCGTATCGCATCCGTCCACGGGGACCCCAAACCCCCGTGAAACGCGTCCAAAGGGGGTTCCCCCCGTGGATCTTAATCCGGATCGACGTAACGCTGAAGCAGTCACGTTTCGTTTTTTTTCATCCCCCCCCCTCCCCCGTGAATCGATCTTAGATCGCGGAGAATAAACAAAGGAGCAGAGAATGGTTTCATTTTTCGCGACACGTGGAAAACATTGGGTTCGAAAAGATTTGTGCGCCGTTGCGTAAGCGGACTTCGCATGATAGAACCAGATCTGAATCTAAATCCGGGCTTACGAGATAAACAGTCTATTAGGGGGATGTACCCTATTGAGACTTGGCTCGACGCATAACGACCAGATCAAAGGTATCGAATTGACGGGGGAACCCTCGTCGACTACCGCACAACCGGTTTATAAACCGGTGTCTTCATCGTGCAGATATGAAGACCGTTTGCTTTGGGAAATTTTCACATTTCGAACCGTCGTTTTCGACGTTAAATGACCAATTTTGAGTAGATTGTGACCACTCGAAACGCCATTAAGCTCGAGCCCCGGTTCATTGGTAGCATCTCTGGGTGTGCACACAACGAGCCGCGGAGGGTAGATATGATTGACGAGCCCTTAAACGAAATGGGATTAATGCGCGTGCAAATTTCGAACCCCCTGGAGGACGTTGGCTCAGCTTGCTAATAATGATTATTATTAACGATGGAATTAGCATCGACTAGGTGGGGGGAGAACTCGACGAAAACGTGAGGCAACTACTCCTCGGACTGGGATGCGAATTTTTCGCTGGGAAACTTAGTTTCTCGCCGTTGGAGAATAAAAGTCACCGTTAATTTGCCAGCCGGACGTATGAAAGGAGAGGGAATATCGGTGGAAGATTAATTTCCGCGAGCAATACTGCTACCGTCTTCGTGCTGTTACCTTTGAAACGTGCCAGTTCGGTTAATGAAGAAGTTCTCTTGGTAGCTTCACCGGGCTCGGTTGAAAATTATTAATCGACCCTCCGCGGGCTGAAGTCCCGTTGACAAACATTTCTAAAGCTCGCGTCTTCCCCGTTCAGAATTTCCCGCCATTCAGCCGTTTAAATACATTAACGGAGTCCTGTCCTCGTATATTACTCCTTCAAAGAGCTTGGGTCTCGCGAGAGAAGGTAAATATTTCGAAATAAAAACGAGAAAGAAATGATTCGAGGAATCGAACGACCCTGATACGTGGGAGGCTCATATCGTCGGTTCAAGGTATCGCCTGTATCGATTCCATTGTAGACAAAAGTCTCGAAGCCGGTCCCAAAGAACATCTCAAGGCGACTGAATCAGGCCACGTGTACAGTAGCCTTGAGCGGAATATCGAAGATGTCGAAGATATTCACCGACTTTTCAATCTTCGACTCTTGGCACACTTTCTCAAGGACCGATAAAAAAAGACAATAGAAAAATAGGAGGCAACGGAGCCAAGTTAATCGGTGCACCATCGCCATCTATGTATACAGGATGTTCGATCTGGAAAAAATTCTAATTTAATGTGAAGTAATTTTAATAAAAAGTACAAGTTTTTCGGCCACCCGTTAGAAAAAATTTTAATGGGAGATTCTAGAGCCCGAAATAAGACGAAAATCAAGAATACCAATTTCTCGATCGAGGCTTCGTTTAAAAGTTATTAACAGTTGCGTCTGCGCAGGTCGATCGCAGTGCGGAGGTTGCATATCTACAGGCGCAACTGTTAATAACTTTTTAACGAGCCAAAAGGCGAGAAATTGGTATTCTTGATTTTCGTCTTATTTTGGCCTCTGGAATCCCCCATTAAAATTTTTCCCAAGGTCGAAGCTTCGTTAAAAAGTTATTAACAATTGCGCCTGTGGATGTGCAACTTGCGTAGACGCAACTGTTAATAGCTTTTTAACGAAGCCTCGATCGAGAAATTTCTATTCTTGATTTTCGTCTTATTTTGTCCTCTAGAATCTCCCAATACAATTTTTATCGAGCAACATCGAACAATCAAATAAATAAAACTCAAATGTTGCGTGAATTTTCAAGCGGGAAGTAATTTTAATAAAAAGTACTAGTTTTTCGGCCACCTGTTAGAAAAAATTTTAATGGGAGATTCTAGAGCCCGAAATAAGACGAAAATCAAGAATACCAATTTCTCGATCGAGGCTTCGTTTAAAAGTTATTAACAGTTGCGTCTGCGCAGGTCGATCGCAGTGCGGAGGTTGCATATCTACAGGCGCAACTGTTAATAACTTTTTAACGAGCCAAAAGGCGAGAAATTGGTATTCTTGATTTTCGTCTTATTTTGGCCTCTGGAATCCCCCATTAAAATTTTTCCCAAGGTCGAAGCTTCGTTAAAAAGTTATTAACAATTGCGCCTGTGGATGTGCAACTTGCGTAGACGCAACTGTTAATAGCTTTTTAACGAAGCCTCGATCGAGAAATTTCTATTCTTGATTTTCGTCTTATTTTGGGCTCTAGAATCCGCCATTAAAATTTTTCCCAGGGTGTGATCGAACACCTGGAGTAAGACAATGTCGGGATCACGAAAAGTAAATTCAGGAAGATGGAAGAAGCGTATAAAACTGTATCGTAAACGAATAGATTTGTCCAGGGTCTCGGAACGAGTTGAGAAATCGTCGCGAACGTTGAATTTTCTCCCATAAAACGTTCCCCGGGGGTTTAAGGGAGTAGATCGGCCTGTATAGAGGGTCGAATCCGTTTCTCGGATTTTACGAGGTCCCGCTCGAGATCTTTCCTTTTATTTCCACCATTTTCCTTCCCGTTCTCGCGTTCCCTCCCCTACCCTTCGGCGTCTCACTTATTCAGACGTTTGACGGAACTTGGAATATAAACGACCCCAAACCAGCCCCTATCGGTGCGTCAACTTCAACAGGGGGTAAGGGAATGACAGATCGACTTTTTCGACCGCGAGGGTGTAAATATGCGGTCTACGGAAGATAGGTCGATGGGACGGTTTCCGGTTTGGATCCTTTCACTACTCGCGGAACAGCCTGACCTTCGATTACTGATTTAAAGCTGTACCCCTGTGTATCGGTTAATTTGTTCTTAATTTGCCCTAGATACCCATCAGCTACGTGAAAATCCCGCCTGATCTGAAGGTACCAAAGGCTAGAGTGCTGCCAGAGTTCTCGAGGCTGGCGCACGGTCTACGTAGCGGGAACATCACCATTCTAGATAGCAAAACTTTCTACATACCGAATTTACACTACGACGGCGGCGGCCCGGACGTTTATTTCTGGGTGGGGAACGGTTTGCAGCCCAACACATTCGGCACCAAAGTGCCCAACGAGAGGAAAAGGTGACCATCTACCAAAATCGACGAGCATCGCTCGGGGTGGAGGGGGAGGGGGGCGTTTGACAAATGTTTCCCTTTTTTTAGCTTGGCTCCGCTGAGAGGGTACCAAGGGGAGGACATCGAGATAGTATTGCCAGGGAACATGACCGTGTACGACATCGATTGGCTGTCGGTGTGGTGCGTCAAGTACGGGCAGAATTTCGGCCACGTTTTCATCCCGAAGGACCTCAGAGTACCGCCTGCCCTCGGTCAGACAAAAATCACGGTAAACGAACACGAATCGTTTCCCCGTACACGGTATTCTTCATCGCTCACGCGTTCATCTCTATAGACGAGAAACTTCACTGTCCGACGAATAACACAAAATTAAATTAATCGAATGTAATTTTACCGGGGATAGCCGCCTTGGTGGTACGATCCTGTAAGTAACGCAAAGCGCACTCACGCAAATTTACCTTATTCGATTCGAACGAGCAATCTCTCCGCGCGTCGATACGCGATCATTCATAAGAAACTTGGGTGGGCCATGCGTCTTGAGAAAGCGTTCGAAATGTTTTACAGACGAGCAGCACACCGACGCCGCCGCAGTTCCAGCACGAGCTGACCAACTGCAAGGAGCTGCTCAACGGTCGGGTGCAGGTGCAATGGGAGCTGGTGGGCGAGGACGTGAAGATAAAGGTGTCGGGGCGAATCAGGGAGGATCAGTACGTGGCGTTCGGTCTGTCGGGCAGCGAGGGGAAGCCCGAGATGATCGGCGGCGACGTGGTCGTAGTCGCGTACAACAACAACACGGGAAAGTTCATCGCCGAGGACTACTACATGTCCAATTACGCGCAGTGCGATGGAAACGAGGGCGTATGTCCTGACGAGAGGGTCGGGGGCGAAAACGACGCCGTCCTGGTGCACGGAGAACGGAAGAACGGGGTGACGACAGGTAAACTCGACGTTGAAGATTCCTAAGGAACGAGGGATAACTTCTGGTTGTTTTCAGTCACCTACATGAGGCCTCTGAGAACCAACGAGCCGGTCAAAGACAAGATGATCCCGGATTCAAAGACCAGCGTGATCGCGGCGATAGGAAGGCTGAACTCGAGAGGGGAAGCCAATGCTCACGAGAGCTTCGACAAGACCACCGAGGACATACGCATCGATTTCACGTCGAAGAACGTCCGGGATTGTAAAAATTCGCTGTACAATCTGCCGGATATGCCTGACATCAAGGCTTGGTCGCCGTTGGAGATCACCAATGAGACCACCTTCAGCGCGAGGATCGGCCCTACTGGCGGTAACAGAGGCTACTCGAGGATCACAGGTGGCTATCTTAATTACTCCTCATGCTATGCGATGTGTTCTATGGTACGTGTGTTTTAGGTCTACCTTCATGGGGCATCGCGTGGTACATCAACGATCTGTTGATCCCGGAGCTCACCGTCAAGAGGGGACAGACGTACACGTTCATAGTGGAGGGCGGGAACGACTCCACCGAGACCTCGAGGCAAGTTCTACCCTGATACTCGTCCTTTGATCGATTCTAATTCACACTGACGGTCGACTTTCTGTAAAGCAGATACCACCCGTTCTATATCACCGACAGTCCAAAGGGCGGATTCTCTCAAAAGACTGAGGAGCAGCAGATGGAGGAAAAGGTGTACGCCGGGGTGAAATACAACTCGGACGGGTATCCCTACCCGGAATCAGCTGGACGTTCTTGCCAGTGGGTCCACAAGACTGTGGACATGAGCGCGGATATGGAGACCTTCGAAGATTTCTTTGAGACTCTTAGATTAGAGTGCGACGAAGGTGAACCGGCCAAACTCATCTGGACAGTGGCCGAGGACACCCCAGATTTGGTGTACTACCAGGTACGGACGAAGGGTGGTAAGCCTGTAACGGAGGCTTCGTTCTCGAGAAGAATCGAAGTAGAAAAGCGGACGTATGGTCGGACGCCGTCTGACTAGTTTCACCTGGATTCCACTTGCGTTCGAGGAATCTTCGAGTTCTCGAGAACGAACGCTCTTTTTTTACTTGTTTTTGATCACTCTAACCCAACGTTTGATATTTTTTTTCCTCCCCCCAGTGTTACACGCACAATAACATGGGCTGGAAGATACACGTTATCAGCAGCGCGCACACAACCGTACCGATCATGTCAATGGTCACAACGCTCGTCGTCGGTCTCTTAAAGCTCTCGAGATGAATCCCTCGATCGTCTTGCGCAAACTACGCGGGTGGGGGGGGAAGCAAATAAATAAAGGTAAAAATGGGGGGGGGGAGGGGGGATCGACGAGACGTAGCTCGCCTAAATAACGATGGTGATACAAAGTAAAAAAAAAAACAAACAAAAAAATCGATTATCAAAATCGGCTGATACACGATACAAGGTTGTAAGAAAGTACTTAGCACGTAAGGTTTAATCTAACGTAAAAAGATTAGCAGAATATTTTTAAGATCTATCAGATTCAATATTTCGTATTATACGATATATGTATATGTATATTTATACATGTGTATACATATATATACAGATATATATATATATATTATATACATACATACACACATATTAAACACGGCACACGAGGAGGATTCGAAGTGATTTTTAATGTTTAAGAATTTAAGGGGAGGCGGGATGTTTCTGACAATAAACGATTTAATGGCGGTCTGAGCGCGGCAATTCTGACAATAATGCGTAACGAAATGATGTTCACGGCGTCTACGATGCGTTTAAATCGTATAATGCAAAATCCAATTACATTGATCGGCGAGAAAATGAAATGGAGAATCGTTGCGGAGCATCGGTGGGTACGGCATGTACAATGTAAATTTTGCACAAAGCTATAGTTGAACTATAAACGTAACATTAAAATCGAGTAGCACGTAAGGATATACATTTATAAATGCTGTCGACTTGACAATAATACGTAGAATAGCGAAACGACGAAAGGATCGTTGACGACGGAAACGAGAAATTATGTACAAGGTAATGTCGGACATTAACAATTAAGGGCGATACGAGTTACAAAACTATCCCCCTATACGTGTAACAATGCTATAATATGTACATACTATAGAGTGGACCTTCCTAAAACGGAATGAAAGTATAAAATGTGCCTTGGGTACAGATAATGAACTTCCTTAATTATCACGAATTAGGAACCACTCGGACTGGAGATGCCCCTATAGTACTTAGGAACTGGCCTCTTGCGAGAGAATCAGCCACTTATCGGGATCCCGTGTCGCTTTAGCCGTGAATCCAGATAGGTGGTATCTGGATTTACGGGAGTCGCTTCAAATAGATACGAAAATTACGAAACGAAAAAAAAAACATTAACCCGCGATATTTAAAAATATGGAAAGAGGGTGGTACCTTGGCGATACGTTGGAAAAATTAAAAAACAAGGAATGGGAAAAAAAAACTGTCAAGAATCTCTGTCTCTCTCTCTCTCTCTCTCTCTCTTTCTCTCTCTCTCTTAAGATCGATTTCGAAGCTTCGTCCAGATTCTAAGTAACGGGGTGTCCTCAAAATTGCCAGCAGCGAAAATTCTTTGCAATTCCAATTGCTTATCGCACGAAGACCAGTCTGTATTTAACTACGTATGCATATATACCTAACATATACATTACATACATATAATTATATATATATATATACATACCACGCATATATACACATATTAAATACACATGCGTAACATGAGGCACGTGTATATATATACAGGGTGTTCGAACCCTGGAAAAATTTTAATGGAAGATTCTAGGGTCGAAAATAAGACGAAAATGAAGAATGGAAATTTCTCGTTTGAGGCTTCGTTAAAAAGTTATTAACAGTTTCGCTTATACGGGGGTTGCTTCTCTACAGGCGAAACTGTTAATAACTTTTTAACGAAGCCTCGGTCGAGAAATTGTTATTCTTCATTTTCGTCTTATTTTGGGCCCCGGAATCTTCTGTTAAAATTTCGAGTCGATCGAGCACCCTGTATGGAAAGGAGAATTTCAAAAAATTTATGTCATTTAGCCCCTCAGCGGTGTCCAAGTACTATTCACCGCTCGCAATTACCTCTCACACCGATGTCCACGTAACAGTGATAAATTAGATAAAACCGTAACGTCAATTCACTCCCATTGTTCTTCTATCATCGTTTCCACCGGAAGACAGAATCGCGTAAATCTAGAGCGACGAATACCATTGGACACGGCTGTGTTTTTAGCTCCTGCGCGAATAAGCATCGACGAAAACCAGCGTTAAGTAGGACATACGTGCTAACTACAACTGTAAGTTAATTAAGCGACAATAACGTGAGGACGGTTTGGTAAAAAGTTCTCCGACAATACGCGCCTAGGCGAGTTCACCGCGGGATCAATGCTGAGATCCGAGTATGCATCGTTCATACCCTTTTCGTTTTATCCCGTTCCCTATCGTTTCAAAGCCCTTTCGGTTCCCCTGAGCGAATCCTTCGAGAGAGCGAGGCTGAGCCTAACGAAACTCCTACTTCTGTGAACGACAATAAATAAGAAGCACCCCGGACTTTGCCGGGTTTTCATAGGGCTGCTCCCGTCGAGGCTTAAAAGAGGATCGCTGTCCTTGTTCCTCAGACAATAAATGTCGCGGGGGTGTCGATCGCCCGTCACCGTCGATGTTACTCGGACAATAATATGGTGATAATATTAAGTCTATATCGCACAATAAGAAAGTATATTTTTCCTTGGCCCCCCAGCGAAACGTATACAAACGACGTGGTAGCGAACGCAACGACAAGTGCTCTTTCGAACGAAGTTGCTCAGTGGCTGGGCGATCGGCGGCTGTGTCTCATCTGGCAACCAAATTAGTCGTAAATCGTGTACAGATTCTAGAACAGGAAAAGTAAAGAATTATCCTTCGAACCCGTCAACCTGGGATTTCAAACCAAACTTGATAGAATTCTAGGGTCCGATGTCTAAACGTAATCTGTAAAATACGAGGCGTTTATGGTCAGCCATCTTGAAAAAAATGACTCTATATCGTAGGCGTCTACGAGAGGAAGCTGTCTAGTATTTCACAAGTTACATTTGAACATCAGTTTCTACGGCTCTAGCAAACGTTAAAATCCCCTTGGTAGCCTGTACAGATTCTAGAACAGGAAAAGTAAAGAATTATCCTTCGAACCTGTCAACCTGGGATTTCAAACCAAACTTGATAGAATTCTAGGGTCCGATGTCTAAACGTAATCTGTAAAATACGAGGCGTTTATGGTCAGCCATCTTGAAAAAAATGACTCTATATCGTAGGCGTCTACGAGAGGAAGCTGTCTAGTATTTCACAAGTTACATTTGAACATCAGTTTCTACGGCTCTAGCAAACGTTAAAATCCCCTTGGTAGCCTGTACAGATTCTAGAACAGGAAAAGTAAAGAATTATCCTTCGAACCTGTCAACCTGGGATTTCAAACCAAACTTGATAGAATTCTAGGGTCCGATGTCTAAACGTAATCTGTAAAATACGAGGCGTTTATGGTCAGCCATCTTGAGAAAAAATGACTCTATATCGTAGGCGTCTACGAGAGGAAGCTGTCTAGTATTTCACAAGTTACATTTGAACATCAGTTTCTACGGCTCTAGCAAACGTTGAAATCCCCTTGGTAGCCTGTACAGATTCTAGAACAGGAAAAGTAAAGAATTATCCTTCGAACCTGTCAACCTGGGATTTCAAACCAAACTTGATAGAATTCTAGGGTCCGATGTCTAAACGTAATCTGTAAAATACGAGGCGTTTATGGTCAGCCATCTTGAAAAAAAATGACTCTATATCGTAGGCGTCTACGAGAGGAAGCTGTCTAGTATTTCACAAGTTACATTTGAACATCAGTCTCTACGCCTCTAGCAAACGTTGAAATCTCCTGTACGATGACTGTACTCGATTTCTTCGAGAATCAATTATTCGAGGCGTAAAGTGTACAAAGACAGTGGACACCGCAATAAGTTCGTTGACGTTAGGGTACCAATTAGAACGGAGACGGAGAAATTCTTTTCTTGTTCCTCTTCCCGCGGTTAGGTGATAGAAACGATCGCGGAGCAGCCCTGCCTATTGGTCCCACGAGTTGTTAGCCGTTAAGGAAGCAAATACACACTGTACACGCTGCGGGTGAAAAAAGAGACCTTCTCTTCTTTCTTTTCGCTGTATCGACATGTAATTTTAGAGGCGACGAACACGGGAATAATTGTATATCATCGTCGGCATTCGACTCGTTAGCGATACCCTTAGGTAAAACGATGTTTTACAAGTTTGTGTCTCGTAGTTAAGGTCCAAGTAGCGTTTCACTCGTGTAACATTTTACTTCCGTCGATTATAGATGAGAGATTCGGACGACGAGGGGGGAAAAAGAGGATTGTATTTGTATCTCGTTAGCGCTCAATTCGGTCCAGCTGTCTAAATATCTTGTAAGATGTCCTTTCCTCTTACCCTGGCGTCCGGGCGTTCCGGTCGAAAGTGTTCGTGGCGTTCGAACAGAGCCTCGAGCAGGCTCGATCGTTACGGCGAGGATCGCGAAACTTGATTTATTTTCTCGATACCTGCTCACATATCTCTATCGAACATATCCCTAATGTAAGGATTCGAACCAAGCGTTCTCGATCGACATCACGGTTCAAGGTGAAACATTTAAGGAGAATTTACGAACGTTCAATGACAAAATACACGACATCTGGTTGCGGTCGATCGACTAAGAATGAGTGAGAAAGGGATATCAAGGGTTGATCGAGTGGATGTTAATAACATTGTCAATATGCATGTAAACGACGAAGAGTCTTCTCCGTTAAAACCGTAGAGATCTCTCGGTGAGTTTTAAGCTGGATATATCTTTCTGAATCTTGTCCTCGTGGTAGAATATATTTTCACACTTGAAGAGCACGGGAAAGCGAGAGAAGCGTCGGCGTTTCGGCTCTTTGCACTATTTTACGCCGGTTCTCAGTCACATTTCAACACTTTGGAGATGTATTTTTAAAGGAACATACTTGGACGAGTGTCGCGATAACTTAAATAATCTCGAAGAACGTTATTCGAACATATCGAAGAAAATGAAATGTTAAAAAGACAAAATTTTGCTGGTATATCGTCACCAATAGCCGATAATGTTAAAATAGCTGTTTGTTGATTTTCGGTAAATTGTTACCAACGAAAGGCAGAGTAGAACAGCCGCCATTTTGGTCAGACGCGGGTGCAAAGGGTCGGAAGTGAGGGGTTGATGAAATTTCCAGAGTCACCGTAGATAAGACTCGCATTCATTAGCTGTTAGAACGTCCCGTAGAGAATATCTTAGTTAACGAAACAAACAATGAAAGAAAAAAGAAAAAGAAAAAAAAGGGTGAAATAAGTGAAATTTATCAAGCGCCATCGAAGAGAAGCGAAAATGAGTAATGTGCCCCCGGGGGTAGGTGAGTTTCGGTGAATTTATCCAAGGTCTAGAGTATTAAAACAAAAAAAAAAGAGTAAAAAATAAAAAAATAAAAGTACGTATTATAAAGTGTAGCATTATCGAGAATGGTAACAATTGTCAACCGTTTTTTTCAACGTTTACGTGTTAGAGTAGGTTAACGAGCAAAGTAACTCTATTAATCGTGTACTCGTGTTACTTGTAAAAGTCGATTCGATCGATCGAGATTATCGAGTTTCCTGCTATCCGTGCTGAACGCGCGCGGAACGGTGTTCTTTTCTTTTTTTAAATTTCGCGCGCGTCCGTGGATCCCGCCATCGCGACTACAGATCGCCAGACAGAATCGTAAGCTTTGCTAACTGCGTACAATGATGTATACGAGTTTTGAATTACGATGTCGGTGCAGCATAGCGCGTTTCGAGTCGTGTACGTGTACGATGTTGCACGTGTCGTCCTTTCCATCACCGATTTTTTCGTTAATTTCAAGGGCGACGATATCGTCATACACACATATTCCAAAGACACCGCTGAGCGTAAAAAAAAAATCGTATCCTTGTTTACCCCAGTCGCGCTGCTAATTTCGTACGATTCAACTTTAACAGACGAGTTACGGTTTTTCGTAAAATAAGTCGAAGGATCCGCGAAACATAATTAATCGAACTTGGCGATTTAAACGCTTATTTCACGAATTCAGTGGATGATTTTCAGACGCTTGAACGACCTTAAAATTCGAATTGAAGCAAAAGACGCGTAACTAGTTCGAACGAACATAGAGAGACGATATATGATATATTTTTAGTCAATTATTTCGTAATAATAGATTTTTTATTCGTTCGTGGATACACGTGTTCGATGGTCGTGCGAAAAATTGACCGTACGAACGAGTCGAGGCTAAATTCGATCGTTTATTTTCTTTTATCAACGATACGGAAACAATTCCGTGGAGTGTTGGTTTCCTTGATATAGTCTATATGCACAGTTCGGTACGTAAAGGATAAGCGAGTTTACTTGTAGCGTTAATACGTCTTTCGAAAAACAAAGAAGGAAATATGGGTATAACAGGTTGTTTGGCCCAACACTAGGAACAATTTTGATGGAAGATTTTAGTGGCCAAAGTAAGAAGAAAATCAAGAATAGAAACTTGTTGATTGAGGCTTCGTTAAAAATTTCTAATCGTACGAAAAAAATTATATTTAGCTACAGGGGTCGATTATAATCATTTTTGGTCAACGGACGTACCCCCGAAATTCTATCCATTTTCGAGAAAAAAAATTCGGTAAATGGACAAATTTTTAGACGAAATTAAACAATTTCAAATCATACTAAAAAAATTATATTTAGTTAGAAGGGTCAATTGCAAACATTTTTTATGAATAGACATATCCCCGAAATCCTGCCCACTTTTGAGAAAAAAATTCGTGAAAATGTGAAATTTTTAGACGAAATTAAAAAATTTCAAATCATACTAAAAAAATTATATTTAGTTAGAAGGGTCAATTGCAAACATTTTTTATGAATAGACATACCCGCGAATTCCTACTCGGTTTCGAGAAAAAAATTCGTGAAAATGTGAAATTTTTAGACGAAATTAAAAAATTTCAAATCATACTAAAAAAATTATATTTAGTTAGAAGGGTCAATTGCAAACATTTTTGGTGAATAGACGTACCCCCGAAATCCTACCCATTTTCGAGAAAAAAATTCTTTACCAAAAGTACACTGTCTGACCATACCGTTGATTCATTCCCCTGAAATTTCATATGTATCTTTAAATCGTCATAACTTCTAAACGGATTGGAGGATTTTAATGTTTAAAATAGCAAACGACGCGTATTTTAGTGGGGAATATGTAGAAATTGTAAAAATGTTGAAAAAGTGGTTCCTTAACCCCGTAATGTGGGAAAAACCCCATAAAAGTAATTCAATTTTCAAACAACCATAACTCCTACAATAGTGAATATATTTCAATGAAACTTGTTTCTAAAGTAGAGCTTATAGGTACCTACAAAAAACTATTAGACAACTTTTCTATCGGGCGTCAAACTAATTTATTAAAAATGAAAAACGAATTTAAGAAAAATCGACAGGGTGTAGGTGTCCAAATTTTTCGACGAAATTGAAAAATTTTAAATCGTTTTGAAAAAATTATTTTTGGTTACTAGGGTCAATTACAGTCATTTTTGGTGAATAGACATACCCTCGAATTCCTACCCAGTTTCGAGAAAAAAATTCGAGATCTTGTGAAATTTTTCGAGAAAATTAAAAAATTTCAAATCGTTCTGGAAAAATTATTTTTAGCTAAGGGCGTCAATTGTGATCATTTTTTGTCATTAGACATACCCTCGGTATCCTACCCAGTTTCGAGAAAAAAAATTCGAGAAGATGTGAAATTTTTAGACGAAATTGAAAAATTTCAAATCATACTAAAAAAAATATATTTAGTTACAAGGGGCCATTACAAACATTTTTGGTGACACACACATACCCCCCAAATTTCTACCTATTTTCGAGAAAAAAATTCCGGAAGGTAGAGAAATTTTTCGAAAAAAAAAAAATTCCAAATCGTTCTGAAAAAATTATCTTCATTTTCGGGGGTCAATTACAATAATTGTTGGTGAATAGACCCACCCCCGGGATCCTACCCACTTTCCAGAAAAAAATTCATCACTGGCGGAACTTTAAATATTAATAACATTTTAACGAAGCCTCCATCAGCAAATTAGTATTCTTAATTTTCGTCTTATTTCGGCCTCCGGAATCTCCCATTAAAATTGTTCCCAGGGGAATCCCCTGTATACGCATAAAATCGCACAGAAAGGAACGCTGGCGCATGTTCCAAACATTAAACGAATCCAATGTTGGAGAAAATCTAATCCGATTACATTTATCGCGGTTACTTCTACGCGGTAATTACATTGCAGTTACGCTATTATTATCGTTCAATTACAGTGGAAAGTGTAATCGAATTACATATCGTCTGACATCGCCTCGAAGTCACAGTACGAAATATAATAACATTAATGAGAAAAAATATAAAAAAGACTGCTCTCACCAGCAAAAAGCATCATTGTCCCTCGAGAAAAATAGTTACTTAGAAGCAGGGGGGGGGGGGGGCAGCATCGACAAAGGCGAGGCCCTCCGAACGCATAATTTTAACTAAAAAATTGTCGCAAAAAAAATATTTACGTTGCAAACATCCCGTTCAGCTTCGAGAATTAACGCAAATAGAAGTATACCGATTGTTTTTCGTTCTCTGGAGTCGGATCGAAGAAAGAATCGAGTTGGAAAACCTCGCTACGAAGCTATCACCGCCATATTGTTTTGCCTAACTCCCTTCTTCTTCGAGCAAATTTTTAATAAACAGGGACGAGATACTCTTTCTTCGACCCTACTGTCCGATTGTTTGAACGGAGTCTCGTACTCATACAGAGGCCCTCATTTCCCAGGGTCCCACACTATAACATATGTATGTATGTGTGACTGTGTATGACTGCCGAGTGTTGGACACTTTGGAAAACGACGGTGAGGGCCCCCGATCATGCCTAGAAAACTCCAATTTACGCCCACGTATTTACAAACACCTTCGTTCCTCGTTTTATCCGTGTTTACTTTCGATTTTTAAACTGAAAAAAAAAAAAAAAAAAAAAAAAATCAAAATCAAAAATTTTCCTGCGCAATAATTCCCGCTTAAAAGCGACAAAATTTTTATCTCGAAGTGTAAGATCAACGTGAATCGTTTCTACGTTGCTTGAAAGATTGTCGTTTTGAAAGTGGAATTATTGTATTTTATTCAGACTCGAGAAATAACTATGTACGGGTTACGAGATTTAGGGGTGGTTCCTCTAGAAGTCGCGGAGTCACCACAATGAATTATTATTCTCCCGAATGGAAATATCTCAGGATATTGTACCCGTTCGTTGTTCCCTGAGTTTTATCCCCGCAACGCCACGGGCGTTGAATCCACAGCTTCGACAGCGCTACATTTATTAACGATTTGGGTAAAAAGGAGCGTCTAAGTAATCATGAGGTATATAATATATTATGATTATGAATTATTGAACATTGTATCAAATTTTATATTCACTTCTTGTGGTTGACAATAAACTGGTTTTATAAAAAAGATACACATGTTTTGTACTGGTACGACGTTCGGTTAGCCTATACAATTACATTATCCTGAATTACATTATCGTCTAAATTTCCTACATGGTTCACTTTGGATAGCCCCAGGGATCTTTCTTCTCGTCCATTAAAATGATAGAAGACTCGCAGATCTTCTTAAACACCTCGTACAACCTATCTTTCTGGAACACCTTGAATAAATCAATGATTAATCGCACAAAGTATCGATAACTTAACACTAGAAAGACTGAAACTTAGTATATACCTATATTGGCCAAAAGCAGTCAAAATGACTGCGTTGTGAAAGGCTAACTAATGTGTAAAGAAATTTGTTTAAAATTAATTTTTAATATTATGTTATAATATTATGAATTTAGGGCGCAGAAATAAAATAAACAACTTGTTAGAACAAGTATCACTGCATAAAGATTCGAATAACAAGTACTACTTTAGCTTATTGAGAAACGGTAATTTATCAATAGGTCTGGATTAGATCTGGGTTAGGTCTGGATTAGATCTGGGTTAGATCTGGGTTAGGTCTGGGTTAGGTCTGAGTTAGATCTGGATTAGATCTGGGTTAGGTCTGGGTTAGGTCTGGATTAGATCTGAGTTAGGTCTGGGTTAGGTCTGGATTAGATCTGGGTTAGGTCTGGATTAGATCTGGATTAGATCTGGGTTAGGTCTGGATTAGATCTGAATTAGATCTGGGTTAGGTCTGGATTAGATCTGGGTTAGGTCTGGGTTAGGTCTCATTTACACTGTTGTTGTATTTTGTAATTTCCAAGTGTATGATATCTGTTTGGTTTGGACTTGAAAGAATGTCGAGTGAGACTTGACGAAGGTGCTCCTGAGATCAAAATTGATGTCGAATCACACTCGACATAGGAGTGCAAAGGGTTAAGATAATTTGGATTATTAACTAATCCAGACCTAACCCAGACCTAACCCAGACCTAAACCAGACCTAACCCAGATCTAATTCAGACCTAATCCAGACCTAACCCAGAGCTAACTCAGATCTAATCCAGACCTAACCCAGACCTAACTCAGATCTAATCCAGACCTAACCCAGACCTAACCCAGACCTAACCCAGATCTAATCCAGACCTAACCCAGACCTAACCCAGAGCTAACTCAGATCTAATCCAGACCTAACCCAGACCTAACCCAGACCTAAACCAGACCTAACCCAGATCTAATCCAGACCTAACCCAGACCTAACTCAGACCTAACTCAGATCTAATCCAGACCTAACCCAGACCTAACTCAGACCTAACTCAGATCTAATCCAGACCTAACCCAGATCTAGGGTCTGAGTTATGTCTGGGTTAGGTCTGGGTTAGGTACGCCCAAATCGACAATTTATCATGTACTTGTATGTTATCATGTGTTGGTAATCGAAAAAAAATGAAAACAGTTATTTCAATACAGAGTCGAACTGGTCATATAAGAAATTTACTCAATTCAATAATAAGAGTCATTTGATTATTTAAAATTTCCCAAGCAGTCAAAATGACTGCTTTTGGGCGATATAGGTATAACACATATATATATACCGGAAATGAAGGAGGGGGGAGGTAATTACAATTATTAATAAACGCATTTATATGTTGTGCAAAAAGTCACAAAATTCTAAGAAATTGTGTCATTATATACATAATTGTTTTTCTAATTGAAATTAAAAAGCAGTCAAAATTACTTCCTTGGGCAATCTAGTGTTAAACGTTCAAAGAGATCGTAGATACGTACTTTATACAGTTGATATTGCTCGGAAGCAAGGATGTCCGCCAATTGAATGCAGCCAGCGTGCTCGTTCATTTCAGACATCACGGAATGCAAAAGAAGCGTAATCTTTGGGATACAGAGCTCCCGTAGCTTCTCCATTTGACGTTCACGCGATTCCTCGTCCAACGTTCGCGGCTCGTCGTTGTTATTATTCGAATCGACCAGCCAACCACCATCGGGAAACAATAGTACATTGAACAGTAGTTGCTTGACAGCCTACGAAAAGAAATTTCTATCTTGTAGAATAAAGAATTCGTTTAAATTTTTACTTGTATGGGCGTTGCTTCCCACGCTCGCCGCCAGGGGGCTCGCGCTCTTACAAGCGTTCGAGCGACCCCTCAGCTGGTATATAAGGCAGAGCCTGCTAGGAACCCTTAGTGACGAGTCCACCAGCAGACTCGGATAAAAAAAAACAGGGCCACGTGTGTAACTTTTATTTGACGAACCTTCGTGTGATGTTGCATCGTACATTTCCACCTCTCCATTTCTACATTGTACTGTGTTTTTTTGTGCTCGTACGCAACCTTCTCCGTGAAAGTAGCATACTGTGGTAGCTCCTCCAACGCTGTGGGTTTTCCATGATGGTAGTGAGAGAACCATTCTGCGAAACCCTCTTGAGCATCGAGATAGGTTTTGTAGCAAAGGTATTCCCGAATCGACGATGACGCTCTTTTCGATAAATTGTTCGTTATTGTAAGATTCGTTAAGGTGCCCTCCATCGTTGGGTATTCAGCCATAACGGACTCGATGGAATCCGCTGGAATCTGAACGAAAAGACATTGGAATTCTTTGAAAATTAAACTGATTCAACACCTACCTTGTTGAATGCCTTCCGCGCTGCGTCTATTTTGTCATTGGTTAAGAAGTATCTTATGAGAGCGTTGGTTTGCCACAACACCTCCTCCCGTTGACTTTGATAGAATATCAACCAGTCCAACGCGTTGATTTTTTCCATGTCCGCATCGGTTATACTGCCCTTCAGATCCGTGGGATCGACATCCACGTCTTTCAAACGTATACTCTCTACCACCAATGTGGTGATCGCATCCACGTTCAGATTCGCGTCCTCTGCCGCGGTCAGGCACTTCTTCCTTTGCTCGTAATCCTTTATCGTCTCCAAATAACTCGCGTAACTCTTCACTTGAGCCTCCTGGGGCAACATGGCCGTATAAAACGCGATCAAAATCGGGTCGTCCATCTCGATCAAAACGTGAACGTACGCGGATAGAACTTTATCACCAATTTTATCATTCGTATTTTTCCCTATTTGTCGAAAGAAGAACACCAGGTGGGCCAGGAATCGTAAAAAGTGAGGGTCGCAAACTTTTCTATCTATCATGCTCTCCACCTCTTCCATCAGCTTCGGTATGTGGTCCAAAATTAAGTATTTCTGAATAAGGTGATCGGGCTCGTTCGACTGCGCGCGAATAATCGGATTTTTCGACGCGTGTAGCTCTTTGAAAACGTCCTCCAACGAGCCCTCGTTCTTCCAATAATCGTCCACCATGTTCGTGAAATTTTTTATCGCCAAATCCCTCACCACTCTTTCGACCTTTATGTCCAACAGCGTTTTCATGTAAGCCCATAGCGCATCTTGCCACGAGGACGCTACTTGCAGCATTTGTTGCACGTTTCCGCAAAGACTAGCATAAATAGACCGATAGAATTGACCTAAATACAAGAGATAATTCCTATCAGCAGAAGTTCCTTTGTGTATTCTATTAAATGTGTAAACGATAAAGAACTATTACCTACGCGTTTATCTTGAGAAAGTTCCCACGCGCAAAGTTTCCAAAGACTCCTGGTAGGATTCCCCTCTATAGGTAATTTAATATCGGACAATGGATTTCTATAATTAGGATCGTGATAAGGTATCCATCCTAATAAACAAGCAGCTCTCCAAGGCTGCCCACAGTTCTCAGCCAATGCTTGCGCCTTTTGAAGACGACCGCAACGTACCTATTCAATAAAACGTATTTAATAAAAAATTTGTTCCGTTCAAATTTTCGATCAAGAATCTTATACCTCTATAAACATTCTTTTCTCGAGTCTTGCGTTATCTTCCCTGTCCAGATCGTGTAGAGGTTTACCTTCCCTTATCGTCGCATCTGGATCAAGAGACGACACCAGCGGTCGGGACAACCCGAAAGGAATTTGATCTCTGTCTTTAACCGCTAGCTGTCTCACCGTATTCTCCCATGCGAGCGTCTTTTCCGTGAAATGTTCGGTGGATGGATATTTATCCGCCTGATCCAACGCATTCTTTTCCAACCAGTCTATTATCAACTGATATTCTCTGATGTATCTCTCTGTTTTGAATAAGTTATCTATTATCAGTTTTTCGGATACGTAAGTAACATTTTCGTCCGAGTCCTCCTCCATCGGAGTTGGAAAATTAAGACTGTTTATTCTGTTTTGGTATAGACAATAAATCAGCCTCCATGTGTTCCTTTCATTCTCTAACGAAACTTCTTCTTCCGACACTTCTGTAGTTTCTACTTTCGACTGCATACCTGTATTACATAAAAAACTAAATAACCTTGGGATTAATTAATATAATTCCAAATATTATAGTACGACTCTTACCTCTCATTATATCTAACGTATCCGAGCAGTTCTGAATGAAATCTGCAATCGTGTCGAATACTTGCGCTTCGGAGAAGTTCATTTGTATACTATGCAAGAAGTCGTAGTACAATTTAGACATGACATCGCGCCACGGTTCTTTCGCTTTCAAAATTATACCAGTCGCGGCGCTATCTTCCATCATTTCCCTCAATGTAAGCTCGTTCTTATCCATACCGACCACAATATCGCGCAATTCGTGCGGAGCGATCGTTATCGAATCATCCATATCCAGAACATCGTGACCCTTCATTAATCTCGAACTAAAATACGATCTGCTCAACATTTTCGGGCTATTGGTATCGTTCAACGAGCAGGAATCATCCGAATCTTTTCGTACATGATTACTCTGTAACGATATCCTCTTGGGTGTCGCGCTCTTTCCACTTAACCTCAAAAATGACTTTCGTTGAGCATTTTCTTGATTATGCATTTGAATCGATCGTTCCAAATTTTCTGTGGTATCGTTTATCGAATCCATCGTTTAAACTGCTGCTTGAAAATCCACCGATGTTAACTGAAACTACTTGCTATATCCGACAGGCAAATGTTTACAAAAGCGTGATCATTGACAATCGCGTGCCGGTTTTCGAATTATACAGTAGTACCACCATTAAGCAGATCGATCGATACCAATAGTAAGGTGTGAAATTTTCCTTAGAAAGACAGAATTCCCTAAATTATTACCCTGTTTAACACTAGAAAGACTGAAACTTAGTATATACCTATATTGGCCAAAAGCAGTCAAAATGACTGCATTGTGAAAGACTAACTAATGTGTAAAGAAATTTGTTTAAAATTAATTTTTAATATTACGTTATAATATTATGAATTTAGGGCGCAGAAATAAAATAAACAACTTGTTAGAACAAGTATCACTGCATAAAGATTCGAATAACAAGTACTACTTTAGCTTATTGAAAAACTGCAATTTATCAAACCTAACCCAGACCTAACCCAGACCTAACCCAAACCTAACCCAGATTAGGTTTGAGTTAGGTCTGAGTTAGATCTGAGTTAGATCTGGGTTAGGTCTGGGTTAGGTCTGGATTAGATCTGAGTTAGATCTGAGTTAGGTCTGGGTTAGGTCTGGATTAGATCTGAGTTAGGTCTGGGTTAGGTCTGGGTTAGATCTGGATTAGATTTGGGTTAGGTCTGGATTAGATCTGGATTAGATCTGGGTTAGGTCTGGATTAGATCTTGGTTAGGTCTGGGTTAGGTCTGGGTTAGGTCTCATTTACACTGTTGTTGTATTTTGTAATTTCCAAGTGTATGATTTGGTTTGGTTTGGACCTAATCCAGACCTAACCCAGACCTAACCCAGACCTAAACCAGACCTAAACCAGACCTAACCCAGATGTAATTCAGATCTAATCCAGACCTAACCCAGACCTAACCCAGATCTAATCCAAACCTAACCCAGACCTAACCCAGAGCTAACTCAGATCTAATCCAGACCTAATCCAGACCTAACCCAGACCTAACCCAGACCTAAACCAGACCTAACCCAGATCTAATTCAGATCTAATCCAGACCTAACCCAGAGCTAACTCAGATCTAATCCAGACCTAACCCAGACCTAACCCAGATCTAACTCAGATCTAATCCAGACCTAACCCAGATCTAGGGTGACTTCCTTGGGCAATCTAGTGTTAAAAATGTAATATTATATCGATCCGTTTATTTCGGTCTATATTTTAATTCTTTATATCGTTATTACTTATTTAAAAATTGTTATAAAGTAAAATAATATGGTAATCGATTGAATTAACTGTCGCCCTCTTTCTCGATTTTACGAAGCTGCCCAAAGTGAGCGAGTAGCGACGAACTGGCGGCCATTACGACGTAATCGAAAATGGCGACTCGTCTGCTAAGAGTGGGCTCCGCATTGCGGACTTATACCAACAAAACCAGCCTCGTAGAGGTAATAACATTTTTATTTTCTAATTCAGTTATCGTTGGAGGAACATACCGCGACGTTTCGTTGGAATTTACATTCAACTCGAGATGATTTAACCGAGATAATACATCGACTCCATTTACTCCTTACGTAATGGGAACGAAGTTTTTTAAACCATTCAAAATAAGAGAGGAATTACTAATTCCCGTTCAATTGACAACAAATGAGATTTGATGAATTAACTCTGTAATATACGTTCAAGTACTTGTGTCAGAGTATCATAACCTTAATATGTTTAGGTCTTATAATGTGTTGTCGATGAATTCAGGAATTTGACAGATGTAACTTTTACCAAATGTCTTTCTAGACGCGGAAACAATGGCAGTCTACGGCACCATCTATGAAAGAGATGCTGATCAATCAACCACCAACGAGAATCACAACTTTAGATTGCGGTTTAAGAGTTGCGAGCGAAGACAGCGGTGCCCCGACAGCCACGGTAGGACTGTGGATCGATGCTGGCAGTCGCCTTGAAACTGACGAAAATAATGGGGTGGCGCACTTTATGGAGCACATGGCCTTCAAGGTAAAACAATATTTTCCGACCGTATTTCTATCCCAACGTTAGAACCTTTAATCTACAATTATAATTATTAACAGGGAACCACTAAACGTTCGCAAACTGATTTAGAATTAGAGATTGAAAATATGGGTGCTCATTTGAACGCTTACACGAGCAGAGAACAGACAGTATTTTATGCCAAATGTTTGTCGCAAGATGTACCCAAAGCGATAGAAATTTTGAGCGATATTATTCAAAATTCAAAGCTGGGCGACGCAGAAATCGAGAGAGAACGCGGTGTAATTTTAAGGGAGATGCAAGAGGTCGAAACGAATCTCCAGGAAGTTGTGTTCGATCACTTACACGCTAGTGCCTATCAAGGTACGCCGTTAGGAAGGACAATTCTTGGTCCTACTAAAAATATTAAAAGCATTACGAGGAACGACCTTGTCGATTATGTAAAAAAGAGCTACGGTCCGCCTAGGTATCTAATTCTAAATCATAAATCCCGTAAGAGATTTTAAAAGATCTTAAAAGTGATTGAATATTATTTTTCTTAGATTTGTTTTGGCTGGTGCTGGTGGTGTAGATCACAACGCGTTAGTAGCATTAGCCGAGCAACATTTTGGCAAAATGCAAGGACCAGTCTACGACGAAATTCCGCCTGTTCTAGTACCCTGTCGTTACACTGGTTCTGACATTCGCGTTCGCGATGATAGTATACCTCTTGCGCATATCGCCATTGCTGTCGAAGGTGCTGGATGGGCAGATGCGGATAATATTCCTCTTATGGTCGCGAATACCCTGATGGGAGCGTGGGACCGTAGCCAAGGAGGAGGTGCAAACAGTGCGAACCACTTGGCTCAAGCAGCTTCGATCGCTGAACTGTGTCACAGTTACCAAAGCTTCAACACTTGTTACAAAGTACATGATCGTGTCATATAAATCGTTATTTCGTAAGCATATTGTACCAGATGTGACTGTTTTATAGGATACGGGACTTTGGGGGTTATATTTTGTGTGCGATCCGATGGCCTGTGACGATTTCTTATATAACGTACAATCCGAATGGAGGAGGTTATGTATATCAGTCACGGAAAAGGAGGTTGAACGCGCGAAGAACATTCTCAAAACAAATATGCTCCTTCAGTTGGATGGAACAACCGCAATTTGCGAGGACATTGGACGGCAGCTGCTTTGTTACAATCGACGTATACCACTTCACGAACTCGAAGCCAGGATAGATGTAAGTAACAATATATCTCGGATATAAAACGTACTGTATTTATTTGTTAACAACGTTCCTTGCAGAGTGTAACGGCCAAAAATATTCACGATGTTGGTATGAAATATATATATGACCAGTGTCCAGTGGTCGCAGCAGTCGGGCCAGTCGAAAACTTACCTGATTACAATTTAATTCGCGGTAGTATGTACAGTCTACGCGTGTAAACGCATTTCTTTAAACAAACTTAGAACGAGTCGCCAGCAACATCATATTTAGTAACAAAAAAAAAAATCAGTATCAAAGTGAGATCACAAATACTTGAAGCTGTCTTTCGTGAATACTAATCGTAGTAGAAATTTTCTTATATTTAATATATAAATTGCAATATCAAAGACTAAGTTTTCACGAATTTTTTAATGGCATTCTGTGATCTTACTTTTAATACTTGTTCAACAATTAGTCCTTCCCCATACGTGTATTATCAGATTTAAATAAAATAATAAAATTACCAACCATTATCCTCTTGGTTCGTGACTTAAAAACAGCTGAAAATTTATATGCTAGAGGATGGAGCGGATTATTTGGTACGTAATTGTTTAAAAAATTAATACATAATTACGGGAAGATTCCGAAAATTTCGAGGTATTATAAATCAATTTTTTATTAAACGTGTTTCTCACCAAATTGCAAGAATTAATAGACACGCGTATACTCTTTTTACATAGTACATGCTATTCTATTTCTATTCTGTTATAGTATCGTTTAATTCAATACAAAATGCAACGTATAAAGATAATACACGGGCATCTAAAGGGTGCGTAATATGTACAATTATATATTTCTATGAAATAATTTCATAAATAACGTAGCCGAATTTTCTCATACAATTTAATACATTTAATTACTTTGATTTAATCACAATAATGTAAAGTTCGATTCGAACAAAAATATTCATAAACACGTATCTTATCAAACAAACTATGCAGATACATGATCATTAGTGTTTCTACAAAAAAAAAAAATTGAATATAAAATTTGTAGAAACTCACCGGCACTGTTATTCGAGTTTCCGTTTAAAATAGTTTAAGCAGCATTTACCGTATAAGCAATAAATGCATAATTTACATTCTACTTAATATAATTAGAAAATTACTTAGATTACTAACTTATTATTCCAAAATAGGAAAATTCTAATGCAACAGTGGAAGTACATTATCATTATAATAATGAGATTACGAATTTAAGCGCTATACATAATAAAGCTTTTAATAATATTCTTGTCCATGTTGCAATATATCGATAAGAATGATTATCAAAATCATAAAAATAATTTTTATTTTTAGCATTCTGATAATATTAATAAATTTCGTCGTTACCTTTCCAGAAAAATACTAAGGGTATTCTTTAATTTTTGTACTTATATTAAAAAAATTTACCTCTACAATTTGGTTACCATATTTATGCATTTCATATGTTTCATGACTCTAGCATCGTTCTGTGGTGCTGTAGCCAGTGTCGGAGATGCAGTATCTTTACACACTTTGGCAGTCATTTCGGCCAATGGTTCTAATTCTTTTGCATTTATTAATTCAAATTCTGTTACAAAATAATAAAAATGCTTGTAACACGTATTTACGTGTGCTTCCTGAAATGCAAAAATTCTCAGTCGTACAAAATTAATTGGAATATGATTATTTTAGCACACGAAATATAGATGTTACAGTGAAACACCGAAATCTGGAGAATGTCGACTTTCACCGGTGAATGTCAACATTCACATAGTCGGTTAGTGTATGTCCGAAATATTTGCTAAACACCCTTATTTCTGACTTACACCGGTAAATGTTGACATTCACCATGCACTAATGGTGAGTGTTGAACATGTTGGAGATTTATATTTTCTTCCCCGCAATTCAGTCGCTATAAAACGTCACAAGGGTGACGTAACTTTTTCGCCTCTCTTTCTGAAAGGATCTAACCCAGACCTAACTCAGATCTAATCCAGACCTAACTCAGACCTAACTCAGATCTAATCCAGACCTAACTCAGATCTAATCCAGACCTAACCCAGACCTAACCCCCGTTATCAGCGATGAATTGGTCTGGGTTAGGTCTGGAATAAGTCTGAATTAAGTCTGGGTTAGGTCTGGAATAAGTCTGGGTTAGGTCTGGGTTAGGTCTGAATTAAGTCTGGGTTAGGTCTGGATTAGATCTGAGTTAGGTCTGGGTTAGGTCTGGGTTAGGTCTGGGTTAGGTCTGGGTTAGGTCTGGAATAAGTCTGAATTAAGTCTGGGTTAGGTCTGGGTTAGGTCTGAATTAAGTCTGGGTTAGGTCTGGGTTAGGTCTGGATTAGATCTGAGTTAGGTCTGGGTTAGGTCTGGGTTAGATCTGAGTCAGGTTTGGGTTAGGTCTGGGTTAGGTCTGGGTTAGGTCTGAATTAAGTCTGGGTTAGGTCTGGGTTCTAATCCAGATCTAACCCAGACCTAACGCAGACCTAACGCAGACCTAATCCAGACCTAACCCAAACCTGACTCAGATCTAACCCAGACCTAACCCAGACCTAACCCAGACTTAATTCAGACCTAACCCAGACCTAACCCAGACTTAATTCAGACTTATTCCAGACCTAACCCAGACCAAACCCAAACCTAACCCAGACCTAACCCAGACCTAACCCAGACCAAACCCAAACCTAACCCAGACCTAACCCAGACTTAATTCAGACCTAACCCAGACCTAACCCAGACTTAATTCAGACTTATTCCAGACCTAACCCAGACCAATTCATCGCTGATAACGGGGGTTAGGTCTGGAATAAGTCTGAATTAAGTCTGGGTTAGGTCTGGAATAAGTCTGAATTAAGTCTGGGTTAGGTCTGGGTTAGGTCTGGGTTAGAAAAAGATCACGATTTACTGCAGTATCCATTTAGTATAAATTAGGGTATCGGAAATGAAATTAAGAAAACGTTGCTCGCGTTATCAAAGCTTGCATAAGACTGACAAAGCTGATTGACTCCGAGCAGAAGAAAGGATTTGGCAGGAGAGAGCCAGTCGCTTGTTTTTTGACTCTTCTGTTTTGGACCTCCACCAGAGCATATCTGTGATTGTCGACACACACCGGAGAGGGTCCGAATGTACAACAATGTAATGAAATATTCGATCTTTCACCGACGTATTTGGGTATCTGTTGACGTTCACCGGTGAAAGTTGACATTCTCCAATTTCGGTCATTCACGGTAACATAGACACGAAACTTACTGCTCCTATTGCCACGATACGGTCAAAATGATGTATGTAGACGTGAACGAAAACTCTAAACAAGCGCGTCAAGATTTTTCTACACAGCGGCACAAACGTTTTTGGGAACGGTACATCTGTAACAAAATTTTTGCATAAACAATATACGCAATTATCAAACTAACGTTTGAACTTTGTACCTGTAGACACTGGGAATATGTTCTCGTTATTTATTTGCGCTTCTATCCAATCCATAAGAAGACTGACGTACTGCGGTGCTGGTAACGCTGTAGGCTTCTTGTATTTCTCACCGTCCGCCCACAAGTATTCAAAACGAGCACCGCCGCTCATCGTTGGACACGACGCGGAGTCACAATATTCAGAAACAGTACCATATATTAAGTTTATTCTATTAAAGAAATCCACCACTGAAATTATAATAACATAACATATAACGGCAATTTTTAAGATCATGTATTAAAGGTTCTAAAAATTTTTAGCAAATCCATCCGAGTACCGTGAACAGCGATCCAGTCGTTAAGATCCTCGCCAGGAGGCAACTTCACCACAGACCTTAAATTAATTCCAGAATTAAGGGAAGCCTGTGCCTGCTTGTGCAGGGAATACCGTAACGTTCCATGAGCAAACTTTTTCTTTGGTCTAAATGTCTACACCATTGAATGAAAAAAAAATCTGAATTAGGAATACGTATATGGTGAGCTTTAAATATATACGTAATAATTTAAAATAGAAAACTTAATACAACTTGGTGTTTTTAAAATCGATCGATAATAATGTTAGGTTAGAATGTTCGTTGTAAATTCGAACAAATATCGTGCAAAGTTAAAACAAATATTTACCTTTCCCTTTTGAAAGAATTCCATAAAACCGCTCAGTGCAGTCATTGCGGCTGAACTTGCACAGAACCCTGTGATTATTACAGAAATACCGAGGTAACCGGTAGTAGAAATTTATTTCGGTCTATGTCCATGCATGTGTTACGAATCCAAATTCTGCGCCACGTATAAATTATTTTACTACCTACAACTTTCCATTATTACACTTGCCCGAGTTATTTAATTGCGATTAATTTTACAAAAAATTTATCGTACATTTAATATTCACTCGCAAGTATATAAAAACGGAACGAATCTACAGCACGCTCTCGGTCATCGTGTTACGCTTAAATAATAACCACTTTGTCGGCGGTAACCGCAATATTTAATACCGCTATCTGCAAATAGTACAGTTATAACGAGATGTCTTTTATTAGAAATATATTATCACATTTGCATTACGTTTGTTGAAGAAATTTAAGATATATCGTCGTTCGCTACACTTGCGAAAAGTGCCAACAACGATACATCGTTGCGTATGCGATGGTGTCTTATTCTTCCCATCAGGTCTGGAATAATTATTTTTATTTGCAGGGATCAATTGCAATCATTTTTGGTCATTAGACGTACCCTCAAAATCCTACCCACTTTTGAGAAAAAAATTCGAGAATGTGTGAAATTTTTCGACAAAATTCAAAAATTTCAGATCGTTCTAAAAAAATTATTTTTGATTGCAGGGGTCAATTATAATCATTTTTGGTCAATATACATAACCTCGAAATCCTACGCACTTTCGAGAAAAAAATTCTTTACCGAAAATCTAATGTGAGGCCCAGAAATGCTTCCTTGAAATTTCATGCGAATCTTTAAAATGTCATAATATTTGAATGGATGGGAGGATTTTAATGTTTCAAAAGGCAAACAACGCGTATTTTAGCGAAGAATATGTAGAAATTGTAAAAATATTCGAAAACTTATACCTTAACCCCGTAAAACGAGAAAAACCTCATAAAACTGGCCCAATCTTCAAACGTCTATAACTTCTATATTAGTGAATGTATTCCATTGAAATTTAGTATGGAGGTAGAGCTCATGCGTACCTACAAAAATGTACTAAACAAAATTTCCGGTAGGACGTCAAAAAAATTTATTAAAAATGGAAAACGAAATTTTAAGAAAAATCGACCCTTAATTTTTCAGGGAAAATAAAAGATTTCAAAGCATTCTGTAAAAAATATTTTCAGTTGCATAGGTCAGTTACAATCATTTTTGGTTAATAAACATACCCCCAAAATCCTAACCATTTTCGAGAAAAAAATTCGAGTAAGTGTGAAATTTTTCGACAAAATTCAAAAATTTCGAATCGTTCTGGAAAAATTATTGTCGGTTGCGGGGGTCAATTATAATCATTTTTGGTCAATATACATAACCTCGAAATCCTACGCACTTTCGAGAAAAAAATTCTTTACCGAAAATCTAATGTGAGGCCCAGAAATGCTTCCTTGAAATTTCATGCGTATCTTTAAAATGTCATAATATTTGAATGGATGGGAGGATTTTAATGTTTTAAAAGGCAAACAACGCGTATTTTAGCGAAGAATATGTAGAAATTGTAAAAATATTCGAAAACTTATACCTTAACCCCGTAAAACGAGAAAAACCTCATAAAACTGGCCCAATCTTCAAACGTCTATAACTTCTATATTAGTGAATGTATTCCATTGAAATTTAGTATGGAGGTAGAGCTCATGCGTACCTACAAAAATGTACTAAACAAAATTTCCGGTAGGACGTCAAAAAAATTTATTAAAAATGGAAAACGAAATTTTAAGAAAAATCGACCCTTAATTTTTCAGGGAAAATAAAAGATTTCAAAGCATTCTGTAAAAAATATTTTCAGTTGCATAGGTCAGTTACAATCATTTTTGGTTAATAAACATACCCCCAAAATCCTAACCATTTTCGAGAAAAAAATTCGAGTAAGTGTGAAATTTCTGGAAAAATTATTGTTGGTTGCGGGGGTCAATTACAATCATTGGTAATAAAATACATTAAAAATACATTACCCCCATTCAAAACAAAAACAACGTCAACGACTTTTCTTTAATATTTCTAATAAAATAGTTTCAAATTTATGTTCGCGGGAATTAGAAGGTATAATATAACAGTAACTGTACGTGAATGTTTTTAATAAAAATAATTGTACATTTAAATTAGAAAAAATATTTTTGAGTAACGCTATGCTTTTTACATAAATAGTTTATTACATACACAGGTAGTTTGATGCACAAAAAAGTAAAAAAGTAAACATTACCCCGGGCACCATTTACTATTCACGTTTTCTTTTCTTTTTTTTTTTCCTGAAATAGATATATAACTTTCACATAATTGTAATTGTAATTGTATTATAATTTTGTGCAAGTATATGTATGTACATAACTACATAGGCATAGTAAATTTAATCTATTGCCTTAATGTTTAATTATTACAACAATTACATTGTTTTTTAACCAAATAGTTTGAAGCTGTATTTAGTTTCGCTTATAAAGAACTTCTCGTGTTATTTATATACGATCAACGTTCAATTTGAGACTGTTGTTTCCGTGAGCAACATTTAGGTACATTTCACTCGAATGTTGCGTGCTTTGCTTTCTTTATATAATCAGTACATACATGTAACGGATAATTCTCTCTCTTCGTGTACTTTACAATTAGTAAAATTACTTTATCTATAAATGTACATTTCTCTTCGACCTCGTTCGCAGAGGTAATGTGTTCACTGTTTCAAAACAGAACAAAAATGATCACGCCTGTGTATTACAATTCTGTAACAGTCAATATTTGGACAGATGGAATGATTCCTCACGGTAGGACAATATTTCGGAATTGAGTTTTATTGAAATAAAACTGAATACCCCTAATATAATTATATCCCATAGTAAACCATAAATATGAACGATAGAATTATTGTCACGTACAATTTAAACAAAATGTTTTTCAACATTAATGAAGGATTTGCGTGCAAGCTGTTATTTTTGTGTCCCGCACAAATATCTTGCGATTTGTGGATCAAATAATACATTGATGCCATTAAATGCACCACAGTCTTAATGAAAAACCTGAAAATCTGTTTTAGTTATAAAATAGATTAATGTCCTTTATCGTTTTTAGTTGAAACGTTCGAAGTAGTAAAGATCATGTATGTGGTAGAATTCATTGCAAAGTACTCTTCTATTAAATTATCCTATAAAATCATTTAGATACACGCCCCGGAGGACTTTTTTAAAAGACCTTTACTGTATAAATTCGTTTTTCAAAGTAATGTTTCTGAACATGTTTATAGAGACGGGAACGTTAATATCTCTGTCGATTAATGTCCAGTAAAGACGTTTGTATTAATAATTAGATACATTAATTTATAGTTTATTGTACGGGAATCATAGATGCTTAGAGCCTTCCGCTTTTTTTGCCGCTGGTGGAACGCCGGGCGCTAACGGGGGATTTCTAACCGAATCGGAAGTGGAATTACTTTTAAGAACCGCGGCTGACTTCTCCCGTTTCGGTTCGGACGTGCGTCCAGCATAATCATCGTCCAACTCCTCCTTACCATAACCCTTTTCGGTTGTTACCGGTGTAGCAGGAACTGGAGACTTTGGCGAAACGTATTTCGCTCCGCCCGTCTCCTTTTGCAATGTCTTTTGAATCTGTTCCTCCACTTCCAGAATTTCCTCCTTGTCAATTAATTCGATCAATTCGTGCACTTGTTTCTTGCTCAGCTTAATATCCTCTTTTCCGATTAGCTCCAATACCTGGGAAAAAATCACGCGAATTTAAATATTCGGTTATTAAATTATCTTATCAAATATTCGATATTATACGTTACCTTTAGAACGTCTTCGATCTTTATTGATCCGTCCCTGTCGTCGTCAATTTTCGCTAAAATTTCTGCGATGCGTTGCAACCGGTGATCGTCGGGTACACTTTGAATTCGTTTAATGGCTGTGATTAATTCGTCTATTTTAATCAATTCTTCGGCAGCCTCGATAGAGACACTTTCCTTCACAGCGGTGTTCCCTTCTTTCTGTTTCACTTGCTTCTCGGATTCAAGTTGTTCTAAAACTGTATCCATCTTGTGGATCATCTTGTTCACTTTGTTAAACAATCGTTTAGCGCCCTTGGACTCTTTGATACTTTCTATGTCCTCCTGACCCTTCGCAGCCGCTTTGATTTCATAGAGCTCTTTAAGATCCTCTTGATAGTCGGCCATTTCTTCTTTGAGCTCTTTCAATTCCTCCTTCTCCACAGACATCATTTTATTATCCTGTACAAAACCATATATTATCTTTATAATAATATGTTAACTACTCAAACATCTCGTTGGAATACAATCGTTACAAACCTTTCCAAGCGAGTCTAAAGCCTGTTCTAGTACTTTCACATCCGTAGTCGTTATTTCGTCCACCTTGGAGCTTTGCACGCAAACCGATGGTTGAGGATCGCTTTCTTTCTTCTCTTGTCGTTCCTCCTCTATCTTACGCTCTTCCATTTTGATGATTTCAATGTTCGTTTTGTGATCCATTTTACCTTCTTTCTCTCCTATCGCGCCCTGAGTACGCGCAACGACCGTGTCAGGAAGAGCAGAGATGGTAGCTTTCAGTTTATCGGACATAGGTATCGTTTCTGGGACCATAAGTGCTCGAGAGAGAAGTAACAAAGATGGCGGGACTTTTTTAGTCAGGCTTAAGTCCAACCACTGAGACAATTGCTCTTTCAGTTTACTTTCTGGCAGTCCGTATGCGCGCATAGCGCGTGCTCTGCAAGCTTGTTGCAATTCGCTTCTAGTAAGCGAATCTATGCCTTCCTTTTCAATTAGCTGACAAAACAATTATAAATTTGTATTATTACAAATTATATTTGTCGCTATCAAGAAGAAAATTACCTTATCGTCCGCGGCAAGACTCCTAAGCCTCATTCTAAGTAGAAATCGTAAAAAGTTCGTGGTTCCAAGCGTCTGTACATCCAACACTCTACACAACGCGACTAATTGTGGCCGTGAAAGAGAGTCTAACGTAATTTCATCCTCGAAAAGTTTGCTAAACTGCATGATCTCGTCGTTAGTGGCTGCGGTGCCAGAGGTTCGAACTTTATAGAAAAATTCGGCAAACTCTTTAGCCTTTTTCGATCTATAATCGGACGACTGTACCGCCATGTCGTCCAATGTTTTTTGCAGAAACTTGGCCATTTCGATTTTAATCTGAAATATTGGATTTACAGTTAGTCGATTAGGTAATTATAGTTAGAGGAATTTAAACCGTTATAGAACAGAAGATTCGTACCTTTAATGCTTGTTTTAATTTATCTTCCTTTTCTGTTGCTGTTTGAAAAGTGGATGGTAGCAAGCCGGGGAAAATCTTAATAGCAATAGGTAGTAAAAATTCCATAAAGGGCACAATGATAAAAACAGAGAAGGGAATAAGCCTGAATACATCGCCGGTTGTCTTTATAAGCTAAAAATTAATTTTAAAATGATTTGAAAAATCCAGCAGACACGATTATATACATTGATAATAAATATATATATATAATGTAATTTAGAATTTACCAGCCTATGTTCTCTTCTGCTAAGTTCTTTGCCCTGCAAAATTCTCCAAACTAGTTTCGCTGAAATTTTCATATCAAGGCCCAGCAACCTAAATCCATGATAGTAGTGTAATATTTCTCCTTTCACTTTTTGCCACAAGGTGAGCTTTTCCGCCAATGCTTTCTGAGGACCGTGCGCGACAGTTCCTTCCACCTTCTCTTTTAATTCCTTTTGCTCCTTGATATTCTTCACTGTATCTTCCACTTTGGAAGATGACTCCTGACTCCTCCATGATGGCGTTATATACAATGTACGCAGTTGTAAATATGGTAAATTAATACTATTATTGCTTTCCACTAACGTCGAGCGTATAAATAATCTAGTACTTTTTGGATCTCTTTTACCGGTGTAAATGAAAGCCAAGCTTCCATTTATTTGAGCGGTACTGTACCACAACTTGAAACTACAATGTTCTGAAATAAATAGATTTTGTAAAACATTTCGCATTAAATCTCCCACGTAAAATGTAACAACATACACTTTCCTTCATCACTTTTTTTTTTTTTTATCATTTGATACGCATTGTTGCATCGTTCGAGACATAATTTTTTAACAATAAATCACCCTATCATTGGCGAACAAATTTATTTACGATGTTACAAATTAGTATTTCGTGGTATAAACATTGTTATATTGTGAAAACATGAAACGTATTATTATTAGTACTTATTTCACAACATAACCTATTGCAAAACCAATTATGTAAATGAAAAGATTAAGGAAAGAAAATGATAAAGTAAAATGAGAAATTTTTTTTAATTTATCATATATATTAATAACTTCGTCCATAAATTCACCTGTTATATAAATGTAACGTGTACAATATCTATACTGCGCGCATTCGGAATAATATTACGATTCTTATTTTATTAGAGAACGAAATTAATTGTACATACGTCGAATTGCTCTGCCCTGGCTAATTGCCATTGTTTTTGCGTGAATTAAAGAGTTCATTCTGTATTAGTTTTTTTTTGTAATTTTTATACTTTTACGAAGCCGTGTTCCCTTGCAAATATGTGGTAAAATACGGCCATCACACATTTTCCGCCTTGAACATAGCGATAAGAGGTCAAAGATTAACTGTTTGTTAGGCTGGTTCCACTATTCGAAGCGCAACTTGATGTTTCCCCGATTACTTTTACTTATCTGCGCATACTTCAATAACGTTTACTTTTTTAAGAACATCGCATTATTAAATACATGTACTGATCTAATTCGAAGTATGACTCGTTTGTTTAAAACAAGTTAATCGACGACTACGGGAAAACATAAGTACGCACGAGGTTATTGAATTCGTCGCAAGGTGTATAGTTTTCCAATTGGTGGACCCGACGCTGGTTACACCCAATTGGTAAAAAGTGGCGTTTTCACCAATCATTTCACCAATTGGAAACACAGCATAAGCCCTTAAATTTTACAAGGGTGAAGCTTTTATCAAAATTATGCTTCACACGAGTCTAGAGATTCAGTAACAAAAATAATATTTAATATCTGGGGGTACGAGAACTTAACTAGATACAGTTTTCGGGAGAGTCGACAAAGGCAAACTGACACGTGCCCTCTTTCTCGATTCCCCGAAGCTGCCAGAATTTCGGATCGTTTCGTGGAAGTCAGAGAGAGGAAGGCTTATATTTGCTTTCTCGCTCTTGAACAACCGAAATTCGACTTCACGTGCAGTTCGAATGACGGTCTCCCGCGCAATAGCGGTGAACTTTCATGGGAAGTTTCCTTTGTGCGATTCCGTTCTGCGCATGCGCACGCCTGACGTCACAGCTACCTGTCGTCCGCTGGCACAGATGTATCTTGAACGCAGGAGGAGGTGGATGTAAGGGGCCTGTTGGGAATTCAAACATTTTATCAGCGGACATTTAGTTCAATATTAGCTGAAAGGGTAAGAACACTGTAAAAACCTGAAATAACTCGTTTTCTTCTACAAATTAGGTCGAAATTGTGACAAAACCTAAGTCGTGTTCCTTCGCGTTTTCTCGTAACGAAATTACGTATCTTGTACATATTATTTAAAGTTCAATTATTGTTTAATTATGATCAGGTATGTTTACTGTAATGTATTTGTATTAATTCGTATTTTATTTCTGTTGCAGTCTTTGGTTGGAATTCGAATTCAAGCTACCGGGCGCACAATGGACGCCATTACAGTTGGAAATATCGAAATGGCGGCAACTTCGAATGATTGGTAAAATTTATATTATTATAACTAGTGACACATACACATTTTTTATATATCGTTATCTTTTTATCGTGTTATTATATGTCGGAGGCGTAATGTATCGGTGTTGAGATTAAGTTGTTTTGTTTCTCACGACTTAAAGAACTATCGTGTTCACGGCGTGTCACGTGGTTTAAATCCGGCTGAACCGTCATCTCGGGAGAATGGCTGCTCCGGTAAAAAAACGTGATATTCAACGAAGTACGGAAGACAGGAGTAGCGACGACGATGATCAGAGTTCATTAAATAGCGAGGATAACGAACGGGATGCGGTAGAAGAACAGGTAAGGTGTTGTTGCATTATTTCCCGTGACACGAATTGTCCGTTTTGTCTTAACCTCACTTTGGGACACGCGGTCTCCGCTACAGTACTATTTCCGATGATCATGTACGATATTTAGATCATTATGATCAGCTTATAATGGTAAAAAAGTTATATCTGAACTTAAAAATTGTGAAAGGTTCGTAAATCGTTCACCCAACTGTCATAGTATTCGTCGTGGTCGTCATTCTGCAGGGGCAGCCTTGCGCATATTTTTACTAATAAAAAAAAACTAAATTCTTTTCATAAAGATTTGTGTTATAAGTGTTTGCTAGAACAACAAGTGCGAAAAGAAAATGGATTACAGAAATTGTATCTTTTTAATTAAGTTAAGTACATATTTGCAAATGTTTACAATAAATTAATTTGTTACGAATCGAATCTGTGACGCTGCTTTGTTCGGTTAAAATATAAGAATGTTTGTAATTAGGGAATGGAAATTCAAGTGGACTTTGAAGGAAGAAGTCCGTTAGACCCGGATTATCATGGAATTAAGACCCTTCTGCAACAACTGTTCTTGAAGGCGCATATCGATTTAGGTGGTCTCACAGACTTGATTATTTCCCAAAATTATGTAGGTTCGGTCGTCAAACAGTCTGAAGATTTAGAAAATTCAGACGACGAAGATAGCGATATCAACGATGTGTTTGGTGTTACTACGGTAATTAATTTATCCAGCGGACAGGTAAGCATTTATTAACACGTTTGGGTCTAATTCGATCCAATTTGCAACGTACAAACTTTTTTTCAGAACTATATCTGTGTACAACAGCTCAGAGAATTGTTAAAACAATTGGCAAACGAACACGCACCGGATGCGACTAATTCAATGATAAAACATGCCCTTGAGAACGATTCGGAAGCTTTAGGCTTATTAATTAACGAAAGATTTGTTAACATTCCAGCACAAATATCTGTGCCCCTTTTGGAAAACTTAACGTCTGAGATAAAGCGGGCGAACAATAAAAGGATGCCATTTAACTTTTCTTACTACGTGTTAATTTGCAAATTGTACAAAACCGAGGACCAAAAAATTGAAAAGAAACTGAAGAACAAAAAGAAGAATAATTCGGAAGAGCCAGCCATTCTATGGAGTAACCCGGAGGAAGAGATTTTTGCTGAGGAGGCTACGTTTAGTTTTGAATTTTCTGTCGAAAAGGACTCTGACAGTGGTTTGTCTGGAACGTGGACAGAAACAGATAACGAGATGGTACCCTATAGGAGGGTTCTTTTGTTCGAAGCGACAAAGTTACAACAAATTATCGACAAAATAAAAGTACATGTTTCTTTTCTATAAAATAAACAAAACCAGCGGGAAAAAGCTAATGATAAATTCGTCTCGTATTCCTAAAAAAAAAAAACTCCTTCCTTCGATGTACCGAAGGAAGGTACACGCTTGACAGAGGTAACTTCTTCGATATCTTTTGTACAATAAACAGTATTGTGTGTATACAATACATGTAATCAGCTTTTTATAATATACCTTTATTCATAATGCTTACTGCAACACGTTTCCAATCACTTTTCCCTTAACCATCATTTATACAGTTTCTTTACACATAGAAAAATACGTCTTGCACGTTAATCGCGAGCCTATATATCTTCTTCGATGGTACAAAAATTTATTTTACGACTAAATAAATAACATTACTTTAAACAGCATTTACGTAGAACAAATTTTTGTTTAAAAAAAAAAAAAAAAAAAAACGTATCGTAATCAATATATCAACAACGGTACGCAACATGCGTAACCTGAGATTTCAAAATAACGTCCAGTTTTTTATGTTGGCACATCTGTTGATTGGTAAGGTTGTTTCATCGGTTTGGCTCTTCTTCTCATGGTTCCTAAAATATTTAACATTTCCGAAACCGCTGGCGGTGCGCTTTCCGCTTCCTGTCTTCTTCTTCTTTCCTCCTCCCTTTGTTTCTGCAACGAATCCATTCCGTATAAAAAGAATTCTCATGAAAAACTATTTCTCGACAAATATAAAGCTTACGTCTGTCTGTTTCAGAGTGAAACGTCCACCTTTGATCTGATTGATAATGTCGTCAATGGCTGAAAGAATTTAAGAAGAAAAAAGGTTTACACGTCCAGCGAATTCTCGGCACGCTTATTGCGAATAAAATCGAAAACATAGCTCACCTGGTTGTTGAGCAACCGTTGGTGCCTTTTTTGCGATTCCAAGCATGTTCTCCATGTCGGTCACCGCGTCGCGTTCCAAATTCATTTTCTCTTTCGTCAGCAGTTTGATCGACGTTTGACCGCCGTTGTTGAACATAGGCGGAGGAGGTGGAGGAGGCAGAGGGGGCGGCGGTGGCCTCGAAAGCTTCTCCTCCATCTCGCCGATTTTCGCTTTCAAGCTCTGCACCACACCCTCCAGACTCTCCACCGACTTTTCCGCCCTTTCCGCCCTCTGTGTAACCACCTCCAACTCCGACTCCGCCAGCTTCAACTTCTCCTCGACAATCTCGAACTCCACGTTCGACTCTTTCTCCTCGAGCTTCTCCTCCAACATTTGTATGTGAGAGGCGTGGTTCTGTTGCTCTTCCTCCAACAATCTCTTGAGAGATTCCACCTCCTGGAGGACCGTTAACAGTCTTCCATTGGGGTCGTCCCCAACTTCCGCCATCAAGAGTGCGCTCTGATGAGCCAGAACGTTCCTCTCCTTTTGCACCTGTTGGAAATCAAAAATTATATATCAATTTGTAAAAATCGAAGTAGTAAATATTTACCCTTTCCGCCTCGATTTTCATAATTTTCGCGTTTTCCCTCTCGCGGTCGCATTGCGCCTTCAACGCCTGCACTTCCTCCGCGACCATCTTCGTCACCCTCTCCATGTTCTCTTTATGCACCTTCATTTCGTTCACTTTCTCCTCGGCTACGTTTGAAAATTTATCATCAGAATAATCGATCAGTTATTACGAACAAATTATCGAGTCGTTTAATTACAATTTTGCCGGAGAGCTCGTTCCTCTTCCAATTGCGTGGTCAAATGCGTAACTTGCTCCTGGGCTTCGAACTCTTGCAAACGAGCGGAATGCAGCTCCGTCTGAAGCCTCGCTATCTCTTTGCTCAGTTCTGGAAGAAAAAATGCTCGCTTTCGTGATCGTGATCGTGATCGTGATCTCTATCATTGCTTCGCGAATTTACCTTTCACCGTTTCCCTAAGTTGATCGAGATCTTCGAAATTCGAGTCGACTTCGTCGGGCACTTCGATATCCAACCCGTCCGCGCTGTTCTCCAAAAGTTTCTGCGTTATGATCTGCGACCTCCTCTTCAGTTCGCGATTCTGTCTGTACCACTGGAAAAAATATCCTCTGGATAAATCATGCTCCCGATTAGAATCATATTAGACTTACCTGGGACGCCTGTTGCATAGCTTTGTGCATCGCGCCAGTCTCCACATCGTATTGATGTTTCAGTTGCTCGTATTCCTTGCATACCGCCTCGGAAACTAGAAAATATTTTCGGTTAGATCGATCATTTTGCGCAAGAGACACGTGTATATTTACCTGTTCGTAGTTTTTGAAGTTTGTGTTCTTTCTCCTGTACTTGGGTTTGCAGAGTGCTGTTCTGCCTCTGCAGATTTTGGTACTTCTTCTCCAGGTCGACATGGTCCTTGCTGGCTACGGTTAAAAAATATGCGCGTCACGAGCGGTAAGGCAACGAGAATCCCTTGGCGACAATTTCATTCCGATCGATTTATAACACTATCGCGTACCGAGCACTGACTAATAAAACGTCGTTCGTTTTGCATGCAGGAGTGAATCACGATCGAATAATTGCATCGCGGATGATTGGCCGTGAACTATAATCACGCGTCGGCCACTTCCCTTTCGCCGTGCATCTTTATCCGCCTCTACTTTTACGTAAGTCCGTTCCATACCTCTGTCCTTACAATAACAAACCAATAGATCGTTCAACGTCGCATTTCAAGCTGTAGAAAATTACTTTCAGGACCCCGGAACCGATAGATCGAAGAGCAAATGCAAGGAACAAGGGATTTCTTGAGAATTTTTAGAAGCGTTGATGCAGCCGCTGTTCCATATTTACCAAGCTCCGTATCGCGCAGCTGTTTAATCAAATTAATGCTCGAGAACGAGTAGGGGGAAGAAGCCGGTGCTCACTTCGTTAATGATGACTAATGGGAATCGTAATAAACTTCTCGAACGACTTGGTGGAAACTTAAATTGTTAATTACCGGCCTCGCTCTTCTGCAGCAACAGCTTCCTCCTCTTCTCAGACTCCTCGTACTTGCTCTTCCACTTGCTCTCGAGGCTGTTGCTGCGGTTCAGTTTAGCCAGGCCGGCTGGCTCGTTCGTCTTCCAGCTGGCGAACACCGGAGTGGCCAGCTTCTCCTCCGAGTTTCGCATCTCGATGCTCGAGGCGGATAGATTGTTGTTCCTCGGACGCAGCTGGACAGAAGCGTTCAGCTTCTCGAAGGACGCCTTTTGAGCAGCGACCGATACGCCTCTGGACAGCTTCTCGAACGATCCCCTGCGAGCCGGGGGACATCTTTCTTGAGCTTTGATCGCGTTCGATATCCTCGGTACCGGGATGTGCGAGTGGTTCACGCTCGAGGACGTTCTAGCCGGCTCCGGGCTCAGAACTATTTTCAATTCCGTTTTGTTCATCTGGAAATAGGAATACACGGTGTCCTCTGTTATACGATCGTGGCAAAATCGACTGTTCGTTAAATAACTCTGCACAAAGAGGGGGAATACTGCGGATGTTTATGCATTTGTGGGAAATTTTAATTATCAACAAACTACAGAATTCAGTTGATATGCAAGAATGTAAGAAATACTTAAAGTATCTACAAAGCTCCAATCTCATTAATTTTATTAATAAAAAATATGAATTTGCACGAAGATCCGCAGTCTGATAATAAATTAACGAAAACAGAAATTTCGTGGTCGATTAAGTATCTGCGCATCAAAGCTTCCGGTAAGAAGTTAGGGTAACGAAAGTTTTAACATTTTGTGTACATGATTTGTTGCCATTTATTATCATCTTTGCTGGAAATCATCATTTTTCTTAATTCGAAATCTCTGGTATGTGTCATGAATGTTCTATTGGGTTTATATCTGGGTGATTGTGGAGTAGTGTTCCGCGTTATCTTCCTGGAAGTGATACATACGTGTCCCTAACTAGGAAGATAGTTGAAGCGGTCAATTGATTTTGCTACGATTATAACAGAGAGAATATTCTATATTCAGTATGCTTATACGAGAACAGAGAAGCTCTATTGTCCCGTCCGGTCTATCAGTGTGAACCAATGTGTGTCTGGAAGCAGAATTTTCTCGTTTCACCGCCGACCACTTTGAAGTGTAGTTTTTCGAACAGAGTAATGAGAATATTCTGAATGAACGATACGAGCGATTCTATACTTAGCCAGGATAGAGTATTTCTATTGAAGTGTGCTCAAACGGCAGAGGGCTAGTAAGATCGTCGTTCCCTAAAAATAAGCGTATTGGTCGCACACCCCCTGCAGCTAAGACACGTTGGAAATAGCCGTACTGTCAAAACGTATTCGTGACTAATCTAGAAATACTAAGTACCGAGATAAGTTGATCTTCGAGTACGTAGTTACCGGGAAACGATAAACGTTGCGCCAAGTAAGCCTCGAATCGAGTTACCGTAAGATCTCACGTTCGAAGTTTAATAAACGTTGACGGAAAACACTGTTCCAATCGGTACACTTGCTTCTCGATGTTTAAATATTATTGATACACGACGCTCGTCGCTTCTCAATTGTCTTCAATTATAGCGAGTTACATTGTTGCCAGCGAGATGAGCGTTTACTTAACCTTCGAACGGGATTTCCATGGTTTGATTTGCCGTTTGTAATTCGACGCGTGTCTTCGATGTAACATATTTTGTATAGTTTCGATATACCATGCGAATTTATACAGGGTGCTCGGTGAATCCTGGGAAAGATTTTAATGGGAGATTCTAGAGGCGAAAATAAGACGAATATTTATGATATTTAAAATTTTAAATCATTCTAAAAAAATTATTTTGGGCTGCGGGGGTTGATCGCAATCAGTTTTGGTTATTACAGACAACCCCGAAATCCTACGCATTTTCGAGAAAAAAATTCCTCACCGAAAATATCATTTCAAGCAATGTCACTCCGAAATTTCAAGCGTAGTTTTAAAATGTCATAACTTCCGAACGGATTGGCCGACTTAAAAGTTTCAAAATGCAAACAACGCGTATTTAGGCGAAGAATATGTAGAAATCGTAAAAATATTGAAAAAGTTGATCCTTGACCCCGAAAAATGAGAAAAACCCCCCATAAAAGCGATCCAATATTCAAACAATCATAACTCCTATAATAGTAAATGGATTTCATTGAAATTTTTTTCTGAAATAGAGATCATACATAACTACAGAAAAGTATTGAACAACTTTTCTGTAGGGCGTCAAGCAAACTTACTAAAAATGAAAAACAAATTTTTAAGAAAAATCGACAGGGGGTAGGTGCCTAAATTTTTCGCCGAAAAAAAAAAATTTCAAATCGTTCTGGAAAAATTATTTTTAGCTAAGAGGGTCAATTACAATCATTTTTGGTGAATAGACATATTTTCGAAATCCTAACCAGTTTCAAGAAAAAAATTCGAGAAGATGTGACATTTTTAGACGAAATTAAAAAATTTTAAATCATACTAAAAAAATTATATTTAGTTACATGGGTCAATTACAATCATTTTTGATAAATAGACATATCTTCGAAATCCTAACCAGTTTCGAGAAAAAAATTCCATAAGTTCCCAAATTTTTCGACGAAAAAAAAAATATTCAAATCGTTCTAAAAAAATTATTCTTAGCTAAGGGGGTCGACTACAATCATTTTTAGTGAATAGACATACCCCTGAAATCCTATCCATTTTCGAGATAAAAATTCAGAAAGTGCCTAAATTTGTCGACAAAATTTCAAAATTTCAAATTGTTCTAAAAAAATTATTTTCATTTGCAGGGGTCAATTACAATCATTCTTGATAACCAGACATACGTCCGAAATCCTGCGCATTTTCGAGAAAAAAATTCAGTAAGGTTGATACTTTGGACGTTGATAACTCTTTAACGAAGCCTCCATCAACAAATTGGTATTCTTGATTTTCGTCCTATTTTGGCCTCCAGAATCCCCCATTAAAATTGTTCTCAGGGGTGTCCGTACACCCTGTATACTTTTAGCATTCCACCGGCTGGGCTACACGTGGGTTAGTCGTCGCGTGAGTTAGGCGAGATCTCCCCGCGAGAGTATCGAAGTCGTTTCGCTGGAATGCGTGCGTCACTGTCCTCGAGGATGATCGTTAACGGGACCGACGACGACGTCATTCTGGAAAGTCTGACGTCTCGACCACTTTCGCAATAAGTGCTTGGATAAGGGCCAGGTTAACGACTCTCCGCGGATCGAAAGCCCCGAGGGCCCTCCCATTTGGCTAGCGTGCCAGGAAAACTATCAACAATGCGTGCTCCGTTCCAAATCGTTATCACTGGTACAAACTCTGGTATCGATCTTAAATTAATCATAAGCTTCTAGTTATGTTAATTAAGAGCGGTAGGTCTTCCATCGTAAACGCGTCGTAACTGGGCCAATTTGTCCAGGGTCTGTTAATGGAGCCATCGATCCGAAATTACGCGCGCTACGGCGTTTAACGTGAAACGTTAGATCCACCTACGACTCGCGTGATCTAATAGAACGTTGGAAGCGAACGTTTGCGAATTCGCCGGAATACCGAAGATTCCAAGGATCGTTTTTACCGGCTGCGACTATTTTTAATTCACGCGTGCCTCGTGCGTGCATATCCGACCGTCGAGGAACGGACGCACTTGCCTTCAGGAAGAGCGAAATGATAATTTCGAACGTGCCCGTGTCATGCGAGCCTCGAGTCCGCGCGTCAGGTCGACGGTCACGTAGATCGTTGCACTTTTACGCGCGCATCACGCCACTCGCGGATTCGATCGATCGTGTCGCCTCGTCGTTTCCGTTCGGCGAAACCGGCGATCCTAGATCGGGCCATGCTCGATCGAGGGAAACGGCGGTTTAACGCGTCGATTACGGAACTAGAAAATCACGGCGTCGCCTCCGCGGAAAGTTCTCACCGGGAGTCCTTTCACTTTTCCTGTTTCGCGCTGGTGGATATCGAACGCCGTCAAACGACGTTCTCGTAATTGAGCGCACTTTCGTTCGACGCGATTTCCCGCATTCTTCGCGGAGGCGAGCGTCCAATTATACGTACGAAGAAACTGTAAACCGTAAGGAAAGATCGAGAAACGGATAGGAAATTTGCTCCGTCGACTTACGGTTTCTTGGGCACCGATCGCGTACGTTGGAGTCACTGCATTTTCGTGTCTCGATCGGGACGAGACTGGCCCAAGCACTGAGCAAACGATCGACGGTCTTTTAACGAAACGAAAGTCGACGATAGAACGGAACAAAGACCCGCGAAGAGGAGGAAAGGAGGTGCGCGTTCCACGACGTTCGCGCGCATACTGCTCACACGGCTGACCGTAATGTCACGTTATCTCGGGAGGTTCCAGACGACACGAAAGAACCCCGAGAGTGCGTGCCCTTCTATCGGTGTGCGACAGCGCGGAGAGGCTTCCTTATTATCACTGAAAAACTGCATCCACCGCACAGTCGTTCTTTTGTTTATCGTTCACCGTTCGAAAGAAACGCAGTTGTCGATTGCTTTTCCTTTTTACTCGTTTTCATTAATTTATTACAACCGTGAAATGTTCACGATAAGTCTTGGAATATTATTACACGAGGGAAAAGTCAAGATTGATGTTTCGTTCGCACGCAACGATGCTCCTACAGCTAGGAATGATCGAATCAAAGAAATCGTAACAAAGAGAATTACTTGTTAACGTGGTTGGTAATTCACGCGATGCATCGTGTTACTATGTATGCGATTAAGACGTTGGAGAATGTTGGTTGTTCTAACGATAGCAAAAACCCCGAATACGTAACGTTACCGAATCGAAATGATCGTCAACCGATGATAACTGTGATTATCGTTATCGTTGGTAAACACGACATGTTTATTTTATACATACTGCGACAAGTAACAGAAGTTTCGACCGAGACGTTTGACAAAATTACATCTCTTTTTAAAACATACTTGCCTCTGTTCGTCAGGTGTTTAGATTTAGGATCGTTCGTTAAATTCCCCACATCGTACACAATTTTCGACCGTCCATGTTCGAACGATTTTAACAATGTAAATAGATCAGTAATATAACTGAGGTGTGTTGGCTGCTGCCTTGGAGAAACGATTGGACTATCTCGATACTTCGGATACTTCTTTTTTTTTTCTCGCAACGCAGCTGCACACACATTCGCGGAACAAGGAACAAATTAACGAACGCGGTTGCAGCGTCCACATATGCGGACTTGAGTCATGATTTCTGAATAATCGTCCAAGTCTTTGTCCCCGGTTGCCACGAAAGCACGTTGACGCCTTTGCGAACCTCGTGCCACGCGAATGTAGATACAGAGGTGTAGTTTCGTCGAGGCCAAACCGTTGGTTTCTTGTCACCGATAATAATAACTCGAAAAATGAATCCTTAACTCACGAGGGCCCGTAGAATCTTTAACGAAACTAGTAAGCTACTTAAAAGTTATTTAAAAATCGTATGTAAACTAAAAGGTCGAACAGTAATCGATAGCAAAGTAACTTTCAATTTCATCGAGCTTGTCGATCGTTAGAACTGCGCAGCAGAGATTTACTGCGCATGAACGTGGGAATTCGAAATCCAGCTTTCTTTCCACCACGACGCAATCGACGTTTTCCGTGTATATTCGTTCAGTACTGCTCGAAACGAGCGTCGCAGCAAGCGCGTGGCTCAAACTCTCGCGGAGGAGCGTCATTAAACAGCTTTATTGTCTAGAATTATTCCCCTACTCCCGTCATAACTAAAGACACGTGAGTCACGTTCATTAAGTATGTAACGGGTGGTCATAGAATTCGCGGAAACTGGAAACGAGATAAAGGACTAGGATTTAAGATTTCGCGGCGGAGGATTCGATTACACGACCGGCCTCTCCGGTTTCCCTCGTCTTTGATTCTTTCCTCGTTAAGCCGTACGAGAACCGTTTTCGTTCTTCGCTACGCCACGCTCCTTCGTTCTATATTTTATGCGCCTGATCGATATATATGTATTCAGATATAAATTGGCGAACGCTCCGGAGCGTTTTGTTTCACCGTGTTTTGTTCGAGAATAGATTATCGGGTGTTGTAAAATACTAGCAGGGAAATCTGTGGAAAGAGAGTGTCGGAGCGGATCTTGATTCAAGATCATCGTTAAATTAACATGCTCCTGATGGATCTCGTTAATGCAAACGTCATTCCGTTTCGTTATTTATAGGTCAAGCGCGGTGGCATTGGCAGCCCTGGGTGTCGTAAATTCATTTTCGATAAGAACTTTTATACTTAATAATTATTAATTTATATCATATTAATACACATGTAAAGTTCGTCCAGTTAAATGTATAGTCAACAAAATCGTAATAATATGTTCGCGCAAAGTTCGTACAATCATAAAAAGTTGTAAATGAACGTAATAATTTGTGCACTGGTTAGCGAACAATTTAGGGATATTTTTGCTTTCAAGAAACATATCTTTTTAAATGTAAAACGTTTCGAAAACTTTCACTTTTATTAAGATGAGATATACGCAAAGATTTAAATCAATCGCCAAATGTCTCGGAATCAGTTCAGGTTAGAAATTGTATTATTTGTGTCGTACGCAGTTGCCCAGCCTGCTTCTTGATAGCGTTTCTCTATATAGCAGCGAGAACAGTCTGCTATTTCTGTCATTAAACTGTGATAAAGAAAGAAAAAAAAAGTTCATTTTGTTGTGTTACGAGAGCAATCATTTAGAAATTATTAAGTTATTTTCTACCGACGAAGCGTCACTTAATGGAGCTGTAATAAATCACGAGATTACGAAGACTTGAAAGTACTTTTGTTATACGGGCGCCGACATTCGGTGAAAGGTAGAATTTTATCGCGTAACAAATAATAATAGCCTCGATTAAATAAAAGTAATAACAACGTGATTTGAGCTTGATGTTCTACTGGACCGACAGTCATGACACGTCTAAGAGGCCGAGCCTCTTTAATGGCCATTGTAATGATCAGTTTCACTCTGTTGATTGTTATTTATCATATTCTGAGTAATGAGGTCGAGGACATATCTTCCAATAAATTAAATCCCCGTTTGAAAATCGAAGAGGTATATCCATTGAGCGATCTTACAGAGAATCCTCGCAGCATCGCCAGAAAACAGGAAATAGAAGCACGGATAATGGGAAAGTTGAAAAATGGCGGTGGAAAATTGTTTGCTGATTTCAATTACGATAAACTAAATACAAACACCGCTCCCTTGTTCAAGGGCCATAAAATTGTGCACCTCGATTTAAAAGGCGCCCCTCCCAAAGTTAGTTATTACAAGTACCTGTTACGTTTGCTCAAGAAATTAGGTGCTACCGGTATACTTATAGAATACGAAGATATGTTTCCTTTCGAAGGAAAGATTCAAAACATTAGCGCGCGCAATTGTTACTCTAAGAGAGACATTGCGAACATTCTAGAAACTGCTAATGAAAATAAGCTCGTAGCGATACCGTTGGTACAGACCTTTGGTCACATGGAATTTGTACTTAAATTAGACGAGTATAAGGATTATAGAGAAGTAAATCGTTACCCTCAAGCTGTCTGCCCTACTTATAACAAGACTCTTCCGTTCATTTTTGAAATGATAGATCAAGTAGTGACTGCGCATCCTAATGCAAAACATATACATATAGGAGCTGATGAGGTGTATCAAATAGGGGAATGTTCTAGGTGTTTAGATGCGATGCTTAAAGGACAATTAGGTAAAAAACGTTTATTCTTGGATCATGTTGCAAAAGTAGCGAGATACGTCAAAGACAAGTATCCGGACCTCACGATTCTCATGTGGGACGACGAGTTTAGAGAAATATCTCCGGAGGAGATAATAGACAGGGGATTACACTCGATGATAGAACCGGTTGTATGGAAATATACTACAGATCCTGGTGCATCGTTAACGGATCAATTATGGGACAGCTATGCAGCTATTTGGAAATATATTTGGATAGCTACAGCTTTCAAAGGTGCCACTGCGCCGGATAAGTATTACACAGATATCGGGTATCATATGGAAAATCATCAACGTTGGCTAGAAATTATTAACAGATACTCTTCCGAAATCACATTCAAGGGTGTGATCTTAACAGGATGGCAGAGATACGATCATTTCAGCATACTTTGCGAACTGCTACCAGCTTCCATACCATCGCTCGCGGTGAATTTAGCCATTTTACAAGCACCGGATTTAAGCGGATTTTCAGTAGACGTGCCCACTCGTGTATTGCAAGCATTAAGATGCGAGGGAAAAATTTCTTTAAGTATACCAGAACCACAGTACGGTTGGACCAAATGTAGCTACCAAGGTGTGTCGATCTACGCTGCACTTCTACGACTCTTTTCTTTGCACCAAGAAATTACTAAAATGGAACAGGACAACACGTTCAAGGGATGGTTGAAACCATACAATTTAAAACATTCGTTTTCGAGTCCTAGTCACGTCGAGCGTGCAGTCGCTGAACTGGACAGAAATAAAATGGAAGTAACGTATATCGAGAAAGAAATGCGATCGGCCATGGAAGAAATATACGACGACTACACCATACAGGAATGGCTGGAAACCTATGTCGTTCCTTTGAACGAGAAATTCACTAAATTGTGGGAGGCCAAAGAAAAAATTCTGGAAAAGAACACGTGGCCGAGGAGACCGTTAAAGAAGCTTGAATTATAGTCTGATAAATATTAATACCGACAAAACAAATAAGTATTACATCACGTAATAACAGACTGATGACCATATTAGGATAAAGGAAACGACGTACCCGAGATATTCAGAATTCTTCTTTTCTAAAAGGACGTGTACAAAAACCTGAACTATAATTTTGCACGTTTACGTTTGTACGTTTACTGTATAATACTCTACAACTCAATTTTAACGGGTGATCAAAATCTGTAGATCCCACCGTCCGTAAATTTTCTTTCGAATCGAATACTCGAACGAAATTGATGGCTCGAGCTTTTGAAAACTGAACAACACCGTTTTACGATCAGCGCTGCCTGGGATAAAATTTGAAATTTGTATATATTCAGAATCCAGAATCTTATTCCACCGAGTACCGATTGTAATTCTCGTTTTATAGCCGATAGACAGTAGCATCGATAACATCGTTCACGAAATTACTTTTCGAATGTTTTTACGAGCTCCCATTTCCTATTTCCTCATTCCTAGGAAAGAACAATTAATTTATTTGCTATTTATTAACGATTTTTTACCCTCTGACTTTTACGCTTCCAATTTGCATTTTACGTATACGTTATAATGTTTATCGTTCCAAATATACGCACACGTGCGACGTGTTTGTTTTCTGTTCTCGTATATGTAACGTTTGCATGAGTAGTGCCATTAATAAGTAGACACCAGAGAAGGTTCTTCCCGCGAGAGAACAAGTTTTCGATTAATAAAAATATCGACAGATCTTTCGAATAATTCCCTTACGATGTTATCGTAATTATCGAACGTGAACTTTATTCGTTTGTCGTGAAATTTTGTGTTCGATTTCAATCAAATACCAACAAAAACATCTTTCCGCGAGCATTTGTAAACTCTGACCAAAACAGAGTTCACGGCATGTAGTAAATCTACGATGTGTATGTACGTTACTACATGTGTATTATTATTATTGTAAAAGTATTTTTAACGTTGTTACGTCGAACAATATTAACATTAATTAACATAAGTAGTAAGATTCTATCAATAAATAAATATCTGTTTTTAAATCTACAGCGAAGACACCAGTGGTTTATTGCATTGGTCCCTTAGAGTAGAAGCGAACCGTCAGGTAACAGTAGGAAAAGGTACGAAAAATATTCGTTCAACATCTTATGTACAAATGATCTTCTATCTTGTAATCGCTAATTCTATTGTTTAGGACGTTATCGTTTGTGTGCGTGGAGATTGAAGAATCGTTTTCTCTTACTGCAACGCGCACACCGTTGATTTAGACGAGTGAAGATGAGGATAGAAAGGGATTTGAGTTTGCTTTTTGGTCGGGACCCTTTTCACAACTTTGTGGATAGCGGTCATGTCGACCGTGTCCCCGATTTCCGCGGTAATTATAGGCTTGTGATAGTCTTGGTCGGTTTTCGTCAATCGAACGCCCAGAATTTGCGCTGCCAATGTCACTATGCACAAAGACACCTGAAATTGTATTATTATTAGAGTAATAGAGAAAAAAACGTGTAATTCAGTGAACTTTACCGCCTCGCCGGTTCTCGCGGACATATCGTGGGAGGGGAAACCATTTTCCGCGGCGAATTTGTGGCTTCGATCCCTTTTAACGGTCCTCTGATGCTCCATGTCGCATTTGTTACCGACCACCGCCATCAGAGGCGTCTCCTCGTAGCTATTGTTCACTTGTCTGATTTTATCTATCCACTGCTCGAGAACGTCGAAGGTGAAACTGTTCGTAACGTCGTAGACGAACAGGATGATCTAAAAATCATATCTTCGTAGTGAGTGATCGAGATACGTCCAGGTTTTTAGCGATCTTTATCGCGTATTTTCTCACATGAGCGCCGAAGACGTATTTGTCCAGCATGTTTCCGTGAAGGGCCACGCCACCCACGTCCCATATGTGGAGATTCACGTTCTTGTAATAACCGATGGTGATGTTCTTCAGGAAGAAGTCGATACCGGACGTAGGCGTGTACTGTCTGGCGAACTCGTTGTTGCAGAACTTCTGCGCGATGCTCGTCTAAACATCCCTGAATCTCAGTTATCGAGAATCGGTGCTTGGTCAATACGAGAGTTACCATTTTATTCTTCTCGAATTCTTTGGGTGCAATGGATCTCTGATCAGTCGTTTACCTTGGACGTATCTCGCGTTAATTAATAGACTACGGATGTTTATGCATTTATGCAAAAATATAAGAAATACTTTAAGTAAGATACGAATTATTATGTTTAGGGTTCATTAATTTTATTAATAAATATATGAATTTGCATAAAGACCCGCAGTCTACCAATTAATAATGAAAGCGCGTCGTGGTTGCTCGAGGCAATGTCGTAGCGTAGTTCGACGATAGATCGACGCCTTTTAGAAATTCGTAATTTATAAAAGTTATTATTGACCGCGTCGTGACACTGACCACATTGTACGAAAGAGATTAATCGATACGTGGCTTCGTTCTTTCGCGCTTCGCCCTTAACACTTTAATGGCCGTCACCGTTGATAGACCAAAGTGAAGATACCAGGAATATTATTATAATTATAACGTAATAAGTTGAATGTAATAAGAAAATGATGGCTGATACGGTAGATCACGCACACGTGACAGTGGCCAAAGTCTGCTGACGCGCGAAGTCACGTATACGTGACAACGGCCGTCAAAGTGTTAACACGAAACAATTGAACCGTAAAAAATGTACGATCCAACAATCGATGATCGGTTTAGAGTGGACAAGACGGTTCGAAACTCACTTTGCCGGATCCGGAGTCGCCGACGAGGACGATTTTTAGCCTCTTCGCGATCAGGTCCTCCTCGATGTCGGACATTGAGGAAGATCGTGACGTGATGACGCGCTAGGAAGCTCTAACTTCGTCCGAATGTGAATCATGCAAAAAGTTCTGACGGCCACGACGGTTCTGCGCCGACTATAACGCGATATATGAACGAAGGTGTCTGGGCATGTGGCCGGGGAACGAAATCGAGCGAATCGACCGACCGGCCGTGGCCAGTGCGACGTCGTCGTCGTCCACACGGCCTCATGAATAAATTACCGAATAATCGATAGCACTGCGAACGCCATTGTGCGTGGCGTCGACGTTGCTTTCGAGGGGGGGGGGGAAATAATTAATCAGCGACCGATCGTGGAACTTTGTATATTTTTATATGAGAATTTGAATCGCACTCCATTTCGTTCGAACATAATTTCATCGTAGATCTCAGCTTTCAAAAATGGCGTATAAAAATATATATCTGGTATTTCGTAATACTAGGAATACATATATCGAAGATGGTCACGTTTCCAGTATCTGAAACAAAAATTTATTATAAACAACGACTCGGTTTAATATTTATTTAATCGTTACCTCGTTAATGTATTTATTCGTCTCGGTGATATTGGTCGATCGTGTGGAAAATTCGTATATACAAGTAGTTGGCAGAAGGTTCCGTTAGTTGAAGATCAGATCCTTGTAATTGGCCAACAGGTAGTAGTTCGATACTCTGCAGCACGTGGACGTTCGAACCACAGTGAGTCTGTCCGCTCGCTCGAAATTCGCTTTTACGATCTCGTAGTACCTCCCGTCGCTGCAACATTTCGTACTGTCACGCGATAATTATCCCCCTCGCCTAAAACTCACCTCAAGCTCAGGCATCGCAACTTTATGCACTTCACGCGTAGTATGTCTATAGCCTTTTGACTTTTGTCGGAGAACCGCAAGTTCTCCGGGTCCCAACGCAGCTCCAATCGTTCCAAGTTGGGGCAGTTGTTCGCGATCCCGTCCATCAGCTGATCCACGTGGATGTTGACGCCAAGTCTCTCTTGCGTACCCATCACGAGGATCCTGAAAACGTGAATTCGTGTAGATCGTGTACAGCCAGAAGGTATTCGACGAGTGTCTCACTTGGCGTTGGTCAGTATCGGTAGGACGCTTTGCCACAGCTGATCGGTGATGTGTGGCATCCCGGACAGCGCGAGTCCCCACAACTGATGGCCGTATCTCGACAGAAACTTGTGCAGACCATCGTCCGTTAAATTGTCCGAACTGTCCAGGTCCAGGGCGATCAGGTTCCGGGGGTTCCCCATCTCCGCCCAGGCCTTCAGCACGCTGTCGTTGAAGCCGTTCAGCTGGCCAGCGCTGAGGAAACGGAGCCCTGGGATCCTGGATAGCATATCGATCAGACACTCCGTGGACAGGTCCGTGGCTGTGACGTCCAGCTCTTGTACACTGGACTTCTCCCACTCGACTTGCATCACGTAATCGCTTTGAAGATCTGCGACAAGTTCGACGCGTCTAAGATTCGCCATAAATGAAGGGGAACGTTAAATCGCAGGGAGCGTAAGTACTTGTTCCTTGCATGAGAAGACACTTGAGCCGTCTGCTCCTCTGAAACAGGATCTTCATCGTCGAGCCGGTGACCTTCGAGCAGAAATTCACGGCCAGGCACTCGAGCTGGATGCAATTCGAGGAGAACGCGTCGATGTGAGAGTCGTCCACGAAGTTGATCCCGTAGAGATTGATCACCCTCAGATTTGGGGTCGCTGACTTCAGTTTGTGAACGTTTATGACTTCGTAGATCTCCTCCTCTTCCTCCTCCACCTTCTCGTAGGTCCCTATGCAACGATTACATGTAACATTTTTGTTTCGTAGGTGTTTGCTTCGATGGGTACGAACCTATGAGATGGAGGATCTCCAAACCGTTGATGAAGTTGTAGATCTTTCTCATGAAGCCCTCCATGAAGATCACCTCCGATAGACAGATGCACATGTACTTCAGCTTTGTGGGGAAAGCCTGCATCTCCGAGAAATCGTGCAGCTGCATGGCGGTGGAGAAATCGAGCAGCATGTGGGTCAGGTTCGGACACTTGTTCGCCAGCTCGTGGAGAACCGTGTGGGTGATCAGTTCGATCGGTAGCTCGATGTACCTCAACGATGCTCCGAACCTCGTGCTGCGGGCACATTTTTTTTATCGTAGTCTCTAATACGTATGCGTTATAGTCACTGTTTACAAAAGAATTTTGGCAAGTGGGACAGAGTTTTGGGGACGTATTTCGGGAACGAGCGTAATCTGCCAAAATTCTTTGCAATTCCTTCTAACTACCTGATCAAATGCAGCAGATTGTCCAACGAGTTTACGTGCAATCCGCTGATCTCCGGCCGCAGGGATACGTGTTTCCATAAGCGCGTGTCGTAGGCGATCTGTCGCCACCTTTTGCAGACACGTGCCACCCTGCAGATCTCACGGTGGGACAGGTAGCTGAAGATGTTGAGGATCACCTTGTCCGGGAGCTTCTCTATAGTCTAGACAAAGAGAAGAGGTCGTTGAAAAGTTGACAAAGACGTTGGAAGATCCTAGGGACGCGACTATTGTCAGGATTAGTTTCGAAGATCACTTACTGTCCCCGCAAAACGACTTTTAATCACACCGCCCTCGGATACGAACATCTGAGACGTCTCCACGGCGATTTGACCCCAGACATCGACACCCCCCAGATCCATTTTGTTGTTTTATTTAAAAACGAACTCGAGATAATTTTTTTTATACGACTGTCGTAGATCGGTCGAAGATTTTCAAGATTCTTTAGCCGCGTGAAATTGAACTTTGCACCATAGAGAAAGCGTTACGATTCACATCGATGGAGAATATAGAGAATAATTGCACGTTCGCGACAGACGGCCGGAATTCGGGGAACCAGAAGTTTCTAAGTCTTCACGGCATTTCTAATCGGATCGCGCCTGCGCGTCGTCCTAAATATAAGACTTGGAAGGTCTGTCTCCGCTTTAATTTTAAACTCGTCACCCGCAGCCAAGGTGCATTTCCTTCTGTTTCTCACGAAACGTCAAATTCCGGATGAAGTTCTTTCGCAAAGCGTTTCGAAACTTCCCCTTAAAAACGGGAATTACAAGAACTTTTACGCAATTGACGCTTATTCTCAGAGATCCGTGGGAAAAAACGAATCGAAATTGTCTCTTGGAAAACGTTTTCTATTTGTAAACTCCTGTATCTCGAAATGCACGATTCTTAACTCGATTGGAAAATGTACATTTTTCGAGGCATAGATACCAGTTCGCCGTGGTCTTGTTAGTTTTCTTGGGAATCGTGGATTTTCGAAATGTCTGCCAACACTTGGCTGATTTAAGACTTGGAACTTATCCGACACGAGACACGCGAAATTCATGGCACGTGGTAATGAACGTATCGTACAACTTTGTAAAAAATGTTTACTCGAGGCAACAAACTCTACGACTTCCTCGACGATCCAAACATTAAGGTAATCGATCGTAGAGACTTTTATCAAACATGTGCAATTTTCGAATTGTTTAATTACCTTGTGACGTTGGCTACTATTATGGAGAACCATGTGTTTACATATTTTGACAGCAAGCACCCGCAACAGAGATCAATAATCTACTGACTGAGAGGCTTCTTTAATTGTCTCTCGTAATAGTCGCAGCACGATTACGCAATGTAAAATTGAACACTATGTTGCAAATAGAAATATCCAACTGTTGCAAATCTAATAACGCTGCAACATTGAGTATCAAATATCCCTATCGAGGATAAAATTCTAGAAAAACTATTTTGCGCAGAGTATTTTGTACAGTTTGAGCAGAGTTTGTGTGAACGTTGTGTGATTTATTGGTACAGTTTAAACATTTACCGCAGTGGACACGACTCTGTACCGATGGACATGAGTGCCGAGATCCTCCCTGGATATAGCGCTGGTTGCATGCTCCACGTTCAATCGATGCCAGGTACTCATCATTATGGCAAAAATAACAATCGTAATAACGTCACGGTCACAGAAATAACAACGTTCCACGTCCTTTTTTCATATCGACTTTCTTCTCTTTTGCAGAATCACGGGTACGCGAGTTCGAAGCGAGGACCAATTTGTTAGGAGGCTGCTAGTTGACTGGACCATACTAGGATACACTTCGAAACGAGTCTAGCTTAATTAGTTATAAATACAGGCAAGCAGTCAGTCAGGGAAGCTGACGAGACGAGAATAGGCGGAACCCATTAGTATAGCCTAGCCTAGCGATCTAGAAAACAAGTGGTCCCGTGGATCTGTTCTTCGACGTCATATCAAATTATAAAATCACTTGTAGAATGGCGGGAATAGAAAAATGATAGATCAACGCACCGTGTTCGGTCGTCTCAGAGTCTCGCCGTTCTCTTCGTCGAAGTTATTGCGCTGCTGAAGAGCCACCTCCACGTTCAGGACGTTCCAATTGGACATTCTCCGCGGGTCCATGGTGGTGATACGTTCGATCAAAAACGTATTCGAACATTAGAATGTTTTAACTTTGGGAGAAGATCGCGTAAACTAGAAGACATTGTTGAAATCGCACTAACAATTCAAAATACACTTTCACGATATTGTTTAGTCACACTGTAGCACTTGGGCGTAAAGGGATCGTGGATGATTTCGTGAAAAGCGCGTTACGTTAGTTTACGTTTCTCTTCCGAGAGTAATTCAATTCTTCTGACGTTGAATGGATGGTGTCTTCCTCGTCGTACGTTCTGCCCTCGTGTTACATAATTATTTACGAAACGCGACACTCATGTCTCATTCATCGGTACTATTTTTTTCTTTGTACGAAACGTATGCGATCCTCGTTGCTCGCGTAAAATCGACCTACTCGGTAATCGTGATGTTCTTACGCTAAGCACCCTGCGTTCTGGTTCGGAGGTAAAAAATTGAACTAAAATAATCTTAACTTTCTGTCGTTCCCTAAAATAGATTCGCTGGAGTGCCCCGCTACGCAAGGATGCACAGCCAACAGAGGGCCGTCACGTTACATTGCGGGACTTTTCGAAAATTCGACGAGAAAAAAGCACGCCTCTACCACACTCTTCGGCGCTGAAACGATCCAGGTGATAGAATCGTCCTAATCATAACAGACACCTACTCTACAGGGACATGAGATTAAAAGCAAAGGGCTAGTCGAAGGAAAGATCGCTCTGCGGATTTAATTCTCCAAAAAATTAGCGAAAAAAAAAACTTGAAAATGATGGCGAGTGTCGCGTACGCACGACAGTTGTTGAATATCCTTTTGATTGCAGGCCAAATAGGTACCATTTGGCTCGGCGCCATTAGCAATTTGATTAATTAAGGCCACACATAATGTGGGCACAATAGCGGCGATATACAGAAACTTGTACGACGTAAATTTATTGTATACATGTTGTTTCAAGACTTGTTAAACATTTTCTATCGTCGAGGATATTTTTAACCGGCGCGATCGGGACTTGGGGATATTCGTAAAATGAAGTTTCGTAATGTTTAGCATAGAATTTTTACTCATTTTAATTTGAAAAAAATAGAGAACATATGCGTGTACATAATTGATACACACGTGTACAGAATATTTACGAATTGACAGTAAAGATGGCGTTGGAAGTTTCGTGTTACCGACAGTAGATCTATAAATTTAAAATTCGAAATGTTTTTTATTTAGTGAGATTGATTTTTTTATTTCAATTTGGCTCTTTTATCCTTTTATCTTTATTCGCGATTGATAGAATGTGATAGAAATTAAAGTCTTTATTATGTAGAAGTTTACTACGATTATCTATGTTCGCTGCATGTTTGGAAATTCAATTTCCATTCAATCTACACTTTATATACGACAACATTGCCAACACAATTGTAACATGTTATCTACCGAGTTCATTGTTTCCGCTCTTTGTCTACAGTTTTTCATAAACTTATCGGTAGCCGGACGATTGTTATTTTACTAAAAGTATACGCTGGAATGAATTCACGTCCAAGTAAAGTTAAAAAACGCGAGGCAATTTCAATCCGTGTATCGATCAAAATGATCAAACAAATTAATTATCTCTGTGATTTCCAATCGTTTGGAAATTAAACGGTATTACTAGCCGTTTTATCTTTACGACAGCGTCACTAAAAGATACCAGCAGATTATGCGTACAAGTATCCGTGATAAAAATGTTAAATGTCGTTGCAAGCAAGGCAGTTATCGTTAGGGGCCATTTAGCAGAATATTGGACTATAAAATTTCCGACAAAATAGCTTTTACGATCACAAAAACATTACAGATTATTTCCCTGTTTGTGTAGCAGACGTGTGTGCGTATTTAAAATTCAGATAGGATCTTTCATTTTATTCGCAAGCAACTGCGATTATTTGCAAGGAAGTACAGCAGCGCCTCTATTGATTTTGATGGTCAACAAGAAGAGTTGAATATTTTTCTGTTTCGTTTTTCAAAATAGGGCTTTCGTCTATAAATTGTTTATTGCCTAACCATCGAATTGTACATTCTTCGATACGTTTAACTTCATCGTCGTCGTCTTCTTTTTCTTTTCCCCCCGTTTCTCTTGCGCATTTCCATTCTCTGTCTCTCTTCTTTGCACGGTACTCGTGCATCTGTCCTCTTCCTTGCGCACGCACACCGCCTAGCGTGGCGCTTCGGTAGCTATAAAAGGGACTGCCTTCGTCGTAATGCGCATTAACCGTTCCGTCAGTGTGGTGAGTGGGCAAGATTGTGCGTTATTTCATAATCAATAGAAATAAAGTAAGAATAGAAGGAGATAACCAACGACAGTGCGATTTCTGTCTGTCGGATCGCCGCGGTCAGCCATTGTCGGCGCGAAAACGCGAGAACCACGAGTCGTACATAACCAAGAAATTCGAGGAGCCAGGAAGGGCCTAAGAATTGTGGGCTGCTGTGTAATTGTGATTTGTTGTTTCGATGGAATGATGCATCATCGCGTCGAAGACGAATCGAACAACCCCAGGCAGAAATTGTACAGCGAGGAGCGAAAAAAAGAATAGAGAGACACGCGATAGTCGACGAGAGCAGAAACGATATTGTTGACCGTTGTCGTTGAGTATTTATCGTCACGGGACTGATCAGGATGCTATTGTCTTCGTATTGCGACGGTATGAAATAACAAGAGGCTTGATTTAATCGAGAAAACCGGCGACGGTAGAGGCGGCGACCGCCTGATTCGTAGCGTCCGCACTCAGTTCTCAGTGTAGGCTAGTCGGTCGCTCGTTAGTCGTGGTCACTCGACGAATTTTCTTTACCCCGGGTGACAGCATTCTTACCTCCCGCAAGACATTCACCCGCGCATAAGTTATTTCCGAATTGTTTAACGGTACGCTTACGTACAGCAGCGCAATTACATTCCCGATAGAGTAACGGCGAGAGGTTATTTTCGTGTAAACAGACCAGTCGCACGAAGAGACGTACGGTATCGATAAACGCTGATAGTTAACGGTGTGTTTTGCTCGTTGAATATTCAAGCGGTCCCGATAACGTTAATTAAAAATCATCGGAAGTGTGATCGTCGCCGGGGGACAAAGGATTCTGGGAAACGTACGGTTCGTTCGAAGGATTTTTACCGAGCGGCGTTTGATACACAAAACGTGCAAACATGGCGGCAAACACAAGCGCAGAGAATTGCACCGACTTTGCCGGATTCTTCTATGAAATTGTTATGGAGGACATGTGGACGTCATGGGATGCCACGATGGAATATTTTCAGTACTCCCCGTGGTTGTTTTCCCTGCTAGGCAGCACCGTGATAGGACTAACCGGTATCTTCCCTCTCTGGATCATCCCCATCGAAGACGGTGCCGATTTTAAAACAGGAGGTAACGAATTCATTTATAATCGACACTTGAACACTGTTTTTTTCTTTTCTCTCTTGTTGTATTATTCTTTCCAGCGAACTTGAGCCCACGCGATATCTGTTGCGAGGGATTTTTATTATCTCTCGTTTGGGAGGTTATGTGTACATTTTAACAGGATCTGTGCCCAATTTCTAAATAGATGTTACTCAAATGAAAATATTCCTTTAAAAGATGCAACAACAATTGATCTCCAAGTATCTTTCGTGTCGTCTTCGGTTATTAAACGATCGATCCTTGCGTTACAATTATACGCGGGAAAATCAAATTTTAAACACTGCGTTCTAAGGTAATTATGTAACGTTTAATGTTTGCGGTTGAACACCGTGTCAATGCACGATTAGAACGTTGCATAGTTCGTCGCTAATTCTCGCCACAGGTCTTGTGCAATAGGATAGAATCCGGTACCGTAATTTCACTAGAAATCTGTGGTCGATCGAATCTTTTTCTTAGAATATTTCTTATCAACGTTTACATCGATAGATCGTTCATTTTTATTAGGTACGTTATTATGGACGAAAGAATGATTGTATTTTTTCTGTTCTTTTTAATAGAAACGAGAGACTTCGGGAGAGACCTTGAAATGTAACAAATAACTCGCGGTAAAACAAATTCTCCCCTCGATGCATGTTCCTTTGTCTCATTATTTTTTCCTTATCACGAAAAACAAAGAAGATAGAGCTGTTGAGTGGTTTAACATTCGTACTTAACAATGCCCGACGAGGACGGGAAAAATTTTTATGACAGATTCTAGAGGCCAAAATAAGACGAAAATCAAAAATACCAATTTGTTAATGGAGGCTTCGTTAAAAAGTTATTAATATTTAAAATTCCGCCTGTATTGAATATTTTTCTCGTTAATGCGTAGGATTTCGGGGGTACGTCTATTCACCAAAAATGATTGCAATGGACCTCTGTAACTAAATATATTTTTTTTGGTATGATTTGAAATTTTTTAATTTCGTCTAAAAATTTCACATTTTCTCGAATTTTTTTCTCGAAAATGGGTAGGATTTCGAGGGTATGTCTATTGACCAAAAATGCTTGTAATTGCCCCCTGAAATCGTAAATAATTTTTCCAAAACGATTTGAAACTTTTCAAATTCGCCCAAAAATTTCAAACCTTCACGAATTTTTTTCTCGAAAATGGGTCGGATTTCGGGGGTACGTCTATTCACCAAAAATGATTGCAATGGACCTCTGTAACTAAATATATTTTTTTTGGTATGATTTGAAATTTTTTAATTTCGTCTAAAAATTTTACATTTTCTCGAATTTTTTTCTCGAAAATGGGTAGGATTTCGAGGGTATGTCTATTGACCAAAAATGCTTGTAATTGCCCCCTGAAATCGTAAATAATTTTTCCAAAACGATTTGAAACTTTTCAAATTCGCCCAAAAATTTCAAACCTTCACGAATTTTTTTCTCGAAAATGGGTCGGATTTCGGGGGTACGTCTATTCACCATAAATGATTGCAATGGACCTCTGTAACTAAATATATATTTTTTGGTATGATTTGAAATTTTTTAATTTCGTCTAAAAATTTTACATTTTCTCGAATTTTTTTCTCGAAAATGGGTAGGATTTCGAGGGTATGTCTATTGACCAAAAATGCTTGTAATTGCCCCCTGAAATCGTAAATAATTTTTCCAAAACGATTTGAAACTTTTCAAATTCGCCCAAAAATTTCAAACCTTCACGAATTTTTTTCTCGAAAATGGGTAGGATTTCGGGGGTACGTCTATTCACCAAAAATGATTGTAATTAATCTCTGTAACTAAATATAATTTTTTTAGTGTGATTTGAAATATTTTAATTTCGTCTAAAAATTTTACATTTTCACGAATTTTTTTCTCGAAAATGGTTAGGATTTTGAGGGCATGTCTATTCACCAAAAATGATTGTAATGGGCCTCTGTAACTAAATATATTTTTTTTGGTATGATATGAAATTTTTTAATTTCGTCTAAAAATTTTACATTTTCTCGAATTTTTGTCTCGAAAATGGTTAGGATTTTGAGGGCATGTCTATTCACCAAAAATGATTGTAATCAATCTCAGCGACTAAAAATAATTTTTTTATAACGATTTGAAATTTTTTAATAACTTTTTAACAAAGTCTCTGCGTTTGTTTTTATCGAAAATGAATGTTTGCACGCTCGGTATCGAATTTACCAAGCGTAGATAAAAATAATCGTGCATCATAGCGTCAGTTAAAATTCCCGGATGCGTAAGAAGAAACGCATATTCGACCACGTGGCGAGGTTCCGCTGCGCATATTGTTTACTACGTCGATACTCATTGCATCGTGCCAACGACTTCTCTGTAAGGGTATTCTGGTCTTCTATCGAGAAATATTACGAATCGAGCCAGGATATTGTAATGACGTTTGAGTTACTTTCAGCTCTCATCTGCATTCCGGAGGAAAGAAACAAGACAACGGTTTGCAAGAGATTTCGAAACAAGAAGTTGGACAGAAACTGAACGAAAAGATCGCGAGCCTGTAACTGTAGAACAACGTTCGCGAAGAGGACTGCTGACGAGAGGCCATCTCCGCCGTAAGGCTGCATCATCCTCTCGTTTATTTGCGAAATCTACATGCACACGTAACGCTGCTGCATGCCAATGCAAGCGGGAGAGGATCGTGGAACTCGTTCTCCAGCGGGACGCATCGCAACAATTGGAATCTGCGGAAGAAGAATGAAACGCGAACGTAATTCGCCGTGGAACGGGATCGCGCACGGAATTTAAATGCGTCGGAACAACTACAGCGTCCCGATCGAACGATCTTGCAATTACAATTTTCTGTATCTCGGCGACGATAACGAGCATTTTGTTTTATTTTTATCGTACGAGCGACGGTTTCATGCGATCGTCGCGATGGAGAGTACGCGAATTGAATTCCTCGTTTCTCCGTGGCATAATTTTAAGCGACACGGCGCTAATTCAAGGTCGTTGTTGCATTTCGTCTCAGCCTGCAACGCGCAGAGGAGCCTCGCGGGAACATAAATTTACCGTTCACTTATCGTCGCCGACAATTTTATGGAAATTTATATCACACAGTGATCAATGATTGATTAACTCATCCGCGAGCGTGTCTGTGATGTTAAGCCACGTATCGTATAGTTAGTAAATTCGTTGACTGATATATTTTTGTATTTTACGCAACGGCTCTCCCTAGTTTCTCCGTGTAAATCCCTGTACCGTACGAAAAGCGTGAAAACTTGCCCATAGAAAGAAAAAGCTCAGCTGCAGCTGGGCTGCTGCCGCGTTTGATTACATTCGGAGCCGGATCCGGAGCGTAAAAAGTCTAACAGCTAATCGATACGTTAGCTATCCTCGTTTCCGGCGTCTTGTTGCTGAAAACACGCTGACCAGGTTGCAGTTCGCTGTTTCACAGCTCTCCTCGTGCAGAATAGGAGGGACCAAAGCGATCTCGCCGCCTCGAATTTACTTTTAAAGCACGATCGATAGCACCGCCGGGTCTATTTAAATAAATTGTATTCGATGCGTACTGGTAGCTCTGTGTGCCCGTTTCGAACAGCTTTAACGCGACTTGAGTCTTCCGTCGAAACGATCGAATTCGAATAATTTAGTGTCGTTTAACTGTTGTTTTGTAGCGTCGGAATATATACGTCCGAAAGAATCCCGGGATTCGCGAGGGGGATGGTGTTAAATTATGGTTCTGGCTGGTCTGTCGCATCACCGACTGTTCTGGAACGAATCTATTATCAGGCCCGTTCTCTCTGCGTTACGCCCACGAGCATCAATGCGTTCCCCGTTTCTGTTTCGCTCGATGCGATCGCGTTTACGCGTAAGTACATTGGACTTTAATTTACCATCGCCCAGCTGCACCGAAACACACGTTCGAACGGTTTCCCTGAATGCATTCGCGCAACGACGATTCGATTGGTTTTTCTATTTTAGAACCGAAGAAACGCGCCCCGTACGCTTTCTATGTAGTGTTCTTTTATACGCGTAGTTAGAAAGCATAGGTTTTTAGATCAATAAGAGATTGATAACGAGCTCGTTCGCGCGTTTATATCGCAAGATAATTGCTTTCAATTAGAACGATAACGCGCTATAAAAACAATTACCTTGCGCCGGCTATTCGATCTTTCAGGTATTTTATCGAGTAGCTGCGATGTACAGGGTGTTTGGACACATCTGGGGATACATTTTAATGAGCGATTTTAGAGGCCTAAATGAGACGAAAATCAACAATATCAATTTCTTGACTGAGGATTTGTTAGAGTTGTTAAAAAACTTCGAATCATTCTGAAAAAATTATGTTTGGCTAGGGGGGTCAATTACAATCATTTTTGGTGAATAGATATACCCTCGAAATCCTACCCACTTTTGAGAAAAAAATTCGAGAAAATTTGAAATTTTTGGGCGAATTTGAAAAGTTACAAATCGTTTTGGAAAAATTATTTTCGATTGTAGGGGTCAATTGCAATCATTTTTGGTCAGTAGACATACCCTCGAAATTTCATCCATATTCGAGAAAAAAATTCGAGAAAATTTGAAATTTTTGGGCGAATTTGAAAAGTTACAAATCGTTTTGGAAAAATTATTTTCGATTGTAGGGGTCAATTGCAATCATTTTTGGTCAGTAGACATACCCTCGAAATTTCATCCATATTCGAGAAAAAAATTCGAGAAAATTTGAAATTTTTGGGCGAATTTGAAAAGTTACAAATCGTTTTGGAAAAATTATTTTCGATTGTAGGGGTCAATTGCAATCATTTTTGGTCAGTAGACATACCCTCGAAATTTCATCCATATTCGAGAAAAAAATTCGAGAAAATTTGAAATTTTTGGGCGAATTTGAAAAGTTACAAATCGTTTTGGAAAAATTATTTTCGATTGTAGGGGTCAATTGCAATCATTTTTGGTCAGTAGACATACCCTCGAAATTTCATCCATATTCGAGAAAAAAATTCGAGAAAATTTGTAATTTTTGGGCGAATTTGAAAAGTTACAAATCGTTTTGGAAAAATTATTTTCGATTGTAGGGGTCAATTGCAATCATTTTTGGTCAGTAGACATACCCTCGAAATTTCATCCATATTCGAGAAAAAAATTCGAGAAAATTTGAAATTTTTGGGCGAATTTGAAAAGTTACAAATCGTTTTGGAAAAATTATTTTCGATTGTAGGGGTCAATTGCAATCATTTTTGGTCAGTAGACATACCCTCGAAATCTTGCGCATTTTCGAGAAAAAAATTCGAGAATGTTTGAAATATTTCGACAAAATTAAAAAATTTCAAATCTTCCTAAAAAAAATATTTTCAGTTGCAAGGGTTAATTGCAATAATTTTTGGTGAATAGATATACCACCGAATTCCTACCCACTTTTGAGAAAAAAATTCAGTGAGTGCTTAAATTTTCAAAAAAAAAAAAATTTTTAAATCGTCCTAAAAAAATTATTTTTAGCTAAAGAAGTAAATTACAATAATTTTTGGTGAATAGGCACACCCCTGAAATCCTACTCATTTTCGAGAAAAAAATTCGAGAAAGTTTGAAATATTTCGACAAAATTAAAAAATTTCAAATCTTCCAAAAAAAAATATTTTCAGTTGCAGGGGTTAATTACAATCATTTTTGGTGAATAGACATACCCCCGAATTCCTACCCACTTTCGAGAAAAAAATTCGAGAATGTGCCTAAATTTTTCGACCAAAAAAAAATTTGTCAAATCGTTCTAAAAAAATTATTTTTAGCTAAAGAGGTAAATTACAATAATTTTTGGTGAATAGGCATACCCCTGAAATCTTACCCACTTTCGGGGAAAAAAATTCAATACGCTTTAAACATTAATAACTTTTTAACGAAGCCTCAATCAACAAATTAGTATTCTTGATTTTCGTCTTATTTTGGCCTCTGGAATCTTGCATTAAAATTTTTCTCCATAGTTGGCCGTACATCCTGTTGTGTAAGTTGGAGATGCTTTTCCACTGACAACAATGGACATTTATTAACAATTAAGTTGACGATGTTGCGTAACTGTTGGATAAGCAACCATGAAAAATAAATGAAACGATAACTATCGTTATAATCTGTCTCGATACGATAACAAATTTGTTGATAACATTGTTTCAACGTTATATTCGTACGAAACAATTTATTAACTTTTTAATCTGCTCGATATGTGCTCTGCATTGTGAAATCGATATCTTATTTGTCGAAAGAAGTATTGTTATCGCCGATGCCAAAACCATTTCTTTAGAAAGGATCTAGAAGAAACTTTAAACCAACCGACAACGTTGCAAATCAATTTTTCATACGCGTTTGTCGTCGAACAAAAACTCCATTACATATCGTGACGCCTGGATCTCACGATCCAAGTAAATTATTACTATCTATCGGTATTTTTCTTCCCGACAAGGCACGTTTATATCAAGATCTATGCAAAATCTATGTTAATAGCCGTTAATCGTAGGATCGTTATTGTTCCTTGCAATAGCGTCGCGATGTTTCATCATGAAATCGATGAGAAAAGAACAAAGCGTGCTCGGCCTGGTACATAAATCGTTGGAAAGATCGCGTAGAAACCGGGAGTAGGGATCGCAACGCGCTGTTTCCCGAGTTAACTGGGCGTCGTGTTCGGCACAGAAACAAAAATTCAGACTTATTATCGGTGGAAGGAAGCCTAGAAGTTGGCAAACATAACAGAAATTTATCGTTGGACACGCTCGTTTCCTCCAGTTTCGAAATTCTGTTCCCTCGCGATATGCCCAATTATGTTATCGCAACGTGTATTTAGCGTTTAATGTTTAAGTCTCTTTTATTTAGAAATAAGAAAGCAATTACCGTGATTTATCAGCGATCACCAAGTGAATTGTACTCGATAAAAGATTAACTTAAACTTCCATTGTATCAATCAGAGTTTGTTCGTTGAAATGATTAAATCATCAGAGATTATTACGCGTAACTCGACAACAGTTTGGGTTTTTCGCGAAACAGAGCGGTTTTTCCCCGTTGCAGTGATCGTTTATCTGCGTCAATTACCGATGATAAGTTCTTCGTTGCTGTTTCTATTGTCTATTCTAGAGAAATAGTTTTAATTCCAACGAGTAGGGGACCGTGTGCAATGCATAAACATTGACCCATTTCACAAGAATGTAACATTTATCGATGCGACATAGATCGCGAGAGGTCGGTACAAGGTTCAGGAAGAAGAAAATTGCATCGAAGAGGAATTAACGATACTCGCGTTTAGCATGCTCGCAGAAATAGAAAGTCGAAAGAAAAGCGATACCGCGCTTGTTGACCTTTGACCGGCGGACGGTTCAAGATAGCTTCGAATATTCCATTTTCTGCCACTGCGAATAATATCCGTCACTCTCGTGCAACGTTTGTGCATCGAAATTTTAGTAAATATCTAAAAGTTTGAGAGATTAGACTGTGATGTAAATAGATCGGATGACTAATCGCTGAAATATCTGTTGCAGCACGCATTTTAACGGATGTCTAATGACTCTCGTCACGAACCACTGCTACATTTGTTCGAATTCGCCTAGACGCTGTTGGAATAAATATCGCACGATTTTGAACCAAGAATTCTAGAGCAGTTTTAACGAACCATTGAAGAAGGGATGAATAATAACACGTGGCAGCAGTTTTTATTAACCGCAGGTCATCGTGCCAGCAGTCGTGAAAACAAGCGTCTCTCGGGTCGAATAATTACCTTAATAGCAGTCGACTATTATCGAGTTAAACGTAGACTCCGTAAAATATTAGGATATCTCTAAAGAAAACAAACGGTTGGATCAAATGTACGCTGAGGACACGTTCCACGCACTTATTAAGAGTCGTCCACTCAATGATCTGTTCCGCAAAATGTGGATCAAGGTCTGCCAAGTCGCTGTTCTCAGCGAACACAATTCTCCGTTCGATTTTTTAATCAAAAGCCCCTGGTATTTCGCGATATTTCGCGTCGGTAGATGTCATCTAATCATCGAGATAATACAGAACCTTTTATAATTGTTCTCTGATTGGAAATTAAGCTAATGGCGATCAGTGGCGGATTAAATGTTCATTTAAATGTAATTTCTCCAGTTGGTGGAGAGTGGAAATATGTTCTTTGGAGCGTGAACTGGCTAGAGTGAAATACGACTCGAGTGGAGGGCGAAGATATCGCCCAGGCTCGATCGTACTTTAACGTGGTCAGTGATCCTTGCACGCGAAGGATCCAACCGACGGTGAAATTGTTGGCACCGTGTGGGATTCGACTTAAAAATTTATCGCCACGCGGCAGACACACATCGTTCTGTCGATATTTTTTATTATCGAGGATACGCGCGTAGGTGGGGGTGTTCGATAAGCATTCTTCGGACCATAGTTCCTAGATACTTCACGGAAGACCAATTCCAAATGCACCGTTTTACGTTTCTAACAATTGATATTGTGTTTCAGATAGCGCTGGCACGCTGAAAATACTGTTGAGCTTTGCGGTCGGCGGTCTTCTGGGCGATGTTTTCTTGCACCTTCTACCGGAAGCATGGGGGAACAAGTCACTGAACAGAGGTACAAATACCCTGGAAACGGAAGAAGTCAAGAACCCAGACCTAACCCAGACCTAACTCAGATCTAATCCAGACCTAACCCAGATCTAACTCAGACCTAACCCAGACCTAACTCAGATCTAACTCAGACCTAACCCAGACCTAACCCAGACCTAACCCAGACCTAACCCAGACCTAACCCAGATCTAACTCAGACCTAACTCAGACCTAACCCAGACCTAACCCAGACCTAACTCAGACCTAACTCAGACCTAACCCAGACCTAACCCAGATCTAACTCAGACCTAACTCAGACCTAACTCAGATCAAATCTGGGTTACGTTTGGGTTAGGTCTGGGTTAGGTCTGGGTTAGGTCTGGATTAGGTTTGGGTTAGGTTTGGGTCAGGTCTGGGTTAGGTCTGGATTAGGTTTGGGTCAGGTCTGGGTTAGGTCTGGGTTAGGTTTGGGTTAAACTCAGACCTAACCCAGAACCCAAATAATTTGTTAAATATTTGTCTACATATTAGTTTAGAAGATAATACAGATGTTAATAGTGAGAATGGTAGCTGTAAGTCGTTAAACAGAAGCTATTAATAGAATTTAGCAGAGGGTAGTCTCATCCCCTAAATAATTTGTTAAATATTTGTCTATATATCAGTTTAGAAGATAATACAGATGTTAATAGCGAGAATGGTAGCTGTAAGTCGTTAAACAGAAGCTATTAATAGAATTTAGCAGAGGGTAGTCTCATCCCCTAAATAATTTGTTAAATATTTGTCTATATATCAGTTTAGAAGATAATACAGATGTTAACCCTTTGCACTCCTACGTCGAGTGTGATTCGACATGAATTTTTATCCCAGGAGCTCCTTCGTCAAGTCCAAACCAAAGTGATATCCGTACACTTGAAAGTTACAAAATGCTTCCAACAGTGTAAATAAAACAGATATTTGAACAGGTAAATTTCAAATAAAAGACTTAAAGGGCGTTGGGAGCTGCTGGTAAGAAAATTGAAATATAGTTCGTAGTGCAAAGAGTTTGTTCTCGGTGACAAAACGATTACGTAACTGGTGTGAATTATGTAATAGCTTAACGCGAATTGCGACCCCGAAAACAAGAAGTCAAGGTATTCGTGCAACGCGGAATCGTTCATCGCTTTGGGGGAAGTACGCGGCTCAAAGATCATCGTTCGAACGATGCAATATTCTTTGCGCTCGAGTATTTTTAAGTTAGAGTGTAATTCGTGGTATTAGAGGCTCGAGGCGATCATCTATCTCCTTTGTGAGCGACTCAAGCGACGGTCGCGAACCTCTATTGTGCTTCAGTTACCGATTTCAATTGCCAGCTATCCTCTCCTAAATTAAACCGACACGGTCCTAGTTCACCTACGATTTCCGAGTTACCTTCCCGCCAGAGGGAATTAAACTGGATCGAATGACGCTATAAATATCGCCCTTTTGTACGTGTAAGAATATCGCCGAGCATTATTCTTTTTATTTCAGTCTCGGATGATGGTCGACCCTCGATGACTTCTGGCTTATGGGTGCTCGGTGGTTTTCTAGTATTTGTCATAGCGGAGAAACTCTTCAACGTTGAGAGGGAATCCGAGGATGTGGACGAGTCCGTGGTAACGGACAATCAGGACGCGGAGAAAGAAATGGAGAACAATAATAGCATCACGTTGATCGGTGACAAACCGCAGAACGGATTTTCGAAGCCTTACGATGATTTGTTCACGGATATAGTCAGCGCCATCAATAAGGTAACACAGTCAAGAGCAAATGTATTATAAAAAATACTCTTGTGTTATTAAAAACAGCGAATTATTCTTGTAGCTGAAGCCCACTTTGGAGAAGAAGAACGGGTACTCCCAGATACCGAATGGCTACAAAGACGCGCGCAGAAAGAATAGCTTGGACGGTAACGGTATCGAGCCAGTATCGGTATGTAACAAATTCTCTGGCAGACTAGAGGGTATGTCGATGGACGAAGCGAGAAATTGCTTAAAAAACTTGAAGGAAATGAAGAACGACATCTCTGACAAATTGTCGAACGATCGCGTCGACAAGCAGAATCTTGCGACCGGCGTTTCTGGCAATAAAAAGACTGTCGGTAAAGAGAAATCGAAATCGAAACATATAACCGGCTATCTGAATTTAACAGCGAATATCATTGACAACTTCACGCACGGATTGGCCGTTGGCGGCTCTTTCCTCGTGTCCCTTCGTTTAGGGGTGCTCACCACATTCGCTATCCTAATACACGAGATACCTCACGAGGTCGGTGATTTCGCTATACTGCTACGCAGTGGATTTAACAGGTGGGATGCTGCGCGCGCACAGCTCATCACTTCTACCGGTGGTATTTTCGGAGCTATGTCCGCGGTGTTCTTTTCCGGTGGCAAGGCAGGTGGGTAGTTTCCGGTCGGTTCACGTTATAATTGTATGAAATAAATCGCATCGCGAGGACCTATGTCGAACCCTTATCCAGTTAGTTATTTAGAAATGTTGATATCAATTTTCTCAAACAATTGTTCCACGATTTAAGAAAAATTGTTGATCGATAATCACTTTTTAGGAGCGACGACAAGTTGGATATTACCATTCACAGCTGGTGGCTTTCTGCACATTGGTTTGGTAACCATTTTACCAGAACTGATTAAAGAATCTAGTCCGAAAGAATCGTTGAAGCAAATCGCCGCATTGCTCTTAGGTATCATCGTGATGGCGGTTCTGACGATTCTTTGCGATTAGGATGACTTCGTTTTGTAATCAAATTGTCGACTACTAGTTTAACGTGTGCCGAGTATAGATAATTTTTTTATATTTAGCATCGCCTTGGTACGCGTCGAAACGGTAATTCGAGTTTGCCATAAAAAAAAAAAAAAAAAAAGGGAATTATTCCGTGTAATAATTGTTGCTCAATAAAGATGGGTCTACGTATGCGTCTAGACAGCGAAGAAACGAGGAACGACGATTAACGACTGATCGAAATCAGATTCAAATTATGTAACCATCATATGCTGAGTTTAGTTCCGAAATAGAGGTTTATAGTTTGTTTACATTTGCAACGTTTTAACCGAAATCTTTTTTTTCCATTTGATCCAACTCTAATTTCGTGGTTTCGATATCAACGAATCGATTTATTTTCACTCATAAGCATAAACGCAAAAAAAAAGCATAAAATCAAGCATAAAAATAAAAAAAAAGCCAGCGAGAAATTTAAAAGGAGTATTTGTACGAATTATATTTATATTTTTCGATCGTTTATCGTGGGATCGTATTATTGGCAGTTCGAGATTATTGATTTATATTAATACTTTAAGGGATATTGTTAGAAACCTGACATAGTTTATACACGAATATACGTATGTTCTTCTGTAAAGTATCGGTAAACGTGTTGTTTGTGAGAAACGTTAATTCCGTTTCTGAAGATATTGTCGCACTTGAAACTCCGTTGCCTAGAAGTTACAACAATCGAAACCAGTATTGACATATAACTTTCACGTTGTCAAATGAATTGTGTATGTATATAACCTTTATGCTTCCTTATTTATCGTTTAAAACAAACAAAAGGTATAAATCGAAGCGTATTTTAGTCGAAGGTTTGCGATATCGGTACGTGTAAACTGACGTGAAAGGGTGTCCATCTGTTTTTTTCCTAGGCTCGTGTATCCTTTGGGAAGTGCATGTTTTATAAGTCGCACAAAACAAACGTAATTCTTGTACTTAAAAGAAAACAAGGTATTCTTTTACCGCAAAAAGAAAAAAAAAAAAATACACTTGGTACATGAGTGCCTTTTTTAATCACATGTAAATAGAAATCTTAAAACTTACGGAGCTGTTCGATCAGCGACTTCGCGAGTATATTTTCTATGAACTATGATGACTACACGAGCAGACTGTTCATATGTAATCATTATAATTTGTAAATAAAGTATGTTATTCTATAACAAATTGTTATTTTTCTACGGAATAAAAAAAAAAAAAGAAGTACGAACGGTACAAAATAATTTATTAAACAATCACATCTCGGAACACGGGAAACATAACAATTATTCGCTACATAATTACGGACAAGGTAACTTAAATGCCTTACACGCTATATGTACAGACATTACACAAATGACACTTTAATTCGCATGTACTCGTTTTATAATACATTTATACATTCATTCATTTAGACATCGATCCATACTTGGTAATAATCTATTTACAAGTGACTATGTACTGTTTCCGTAAAAATTAATGACGTAACGTTGCATTTCATTACTCGCTCAAAGAATAACAATATTCCTTATTAACTGTAGATTCGATAACAATTTTCATGCAATATCAACAATGGATAATTCAACGTATCCATGCGAGGAGATGTTCCATTATGCCAAAAGACTGTACAATTGTTATTTTGCAACATAAATTACCGTAGTATTTTCCTCGCGTATTCTACAATTCGTCGTGAACAATCTCAGATACAGTCGTTTGTAACTTTTCGATCAATAGGGTGAGATATTTCAAAATATCATTTTCATCTTGTTCTATGGTAAGATCCGAGTTTTGATAGAAGTTCAATAAATGTTGTATAATAGGAAGCAATGTATCTTTGTTCTCTTTAAATTGTTGTTTACAGACAGGAACTACAATGATCATGCTTTCGATGATAGTTTCAACGAATTCGTAATTCTCGGTTTGAAACTGATTGTGAAGCGCGTCCTTGAAGCTTCTTGTCATTAGGTTGCTTAAATGCATACAGTAGCCGTTCTTTAATAATTTTTGTTCGACGTCGGCGGCTGCATACGCTTTGGTTCTCTGTTGCGCCTGTTCAGGGTCAGGGTCGTCTTGTAAGTTTTGTCTCTCGATAATCAAATCGCTGATTAGCTTCATGACTCTCATTTGCACCTGCAATTGATCGTCTGCTAAAATCTTCCCAAATATCTCCACTCCGCCGTGATCGATCCAAACTTTTTGCGCCGTCGGGAATTGTCTTATTAAGGCACTCAAAGCAAACAGACACTTTGACTTTACTTCCAGTTTAGCGTTCGTCGACAATATGTGCAAAAGCTTCTCGACAAAATCATTCTCCAACGCTTTCAATTGGGCTTTGGGATTGGACTGAACAGCTGCACCCAACAGCTTCAATGCTTCAACCTTAATTTCGGTGTTTGTTCCATTGAGGCAAGGTGATATGACTTTGCCCATACCTTGCATATCGGCGAACACTTTAGCGCTTACAATATGATGAAGCAGATATTCCAAATTGTACAGACTATCTAAAACCTCCTCTACTTCCAAAACTGTTAAAGTTCCTGTAGTAACTGCATTCCTATGAGTTTGAAATTTCTGGAAATAGTGATCTAGTAATTCCCAGCTCGCCGTAACATTTACTTTAAGCTCTTTTATCAAAGTTTCGTAAACTCTGAAATTTTGCTTTACTCTCTGGGTGTGCTTATCGTTTAGTTCACCATCATCTTCTTTGATCTTCTTTAACCTGGCTTTTAATTCTTCTATCGGATCATCGAACAGATCAGATTTATCCGCAGTCACGGAAGAATCATGATCTTCTATAATTGCTTTATCAGGATGCAATGTTAACGAATTTGAACGCGAATGATTAGAATTCTCGTCAGAATCTTTTTCTTCTGCATCTTCTTTGTCCATTAATTTTGCCTCTGTTACTCCAGTTTGAAGACTATGCCGTACGTGTAATCCTTTGGGAATAGGTGTACCTAACAAAGAGTTAAATATGAAACTAATGCCGCAAAGATAAAAGCAATATTTTTTATAAAAAAATTAATTGGGTTACAGATGAGTCAATTGGCACCTTTAAATAAAATTCTGCATACGTCACTGTTGTATATTATTTACGATACTCTACGTGTTAATATATCAGGCGTATTTCAAGCAATGTGCAAATAAAAAATATTCGTAACATTTTTTGCACGAACAGTGATATGCATTTGATTGCAATACGAAAACGATGACGATTTTTTATCGAAGAAACGTGCAACGTCAAATTTGACTGACGTGGTCTTAGGAACAGCACAATCAGTTGCGTAAAAAAGTAGTCCCAAAAATGTACGTATGTAGAAGATTAAATGAACGTTTGCTCACCTTTTTTTACGGTTTGCCATTCACGGGTCGGTACAAATGTTGTCTCGTTTTTTTCGTTATTGCCAAATACTACCGGCAACAAACATAAACAAGTTAGAATAATTATATTGGCTCGCATTCTGACGAGTTCCTGTCGTCGACCGAGGTCTATAGCTTATCTTAAGATACGCTGATGTCTTTCTCGGCGAGGTTGCTTAAATATCGTAATGCATTAATGTCAACCGTGTCGTAGCAATTGCTCAATTTTTCTACAAAACTCTTTCATCGCGCTTTTGTTCAATTTAAGTATTATTCACGTGTTGCGCCCGATATTTATGCAGTCAATGTGTCGATGCTTTGTTTCATGTTCTTACCACCAGGGATTCTACAACCAATAAGCTTTCGATGCAACGTTGTCAAGCTTTTTATTCAAATTCTGTTATTCATGAAATACTATTTTAAATAATTACAGAGTATTCGTACGTCGAATAAAACGAACCTAAAAGGAAAGCAATTTTTTCGTTCAGTATTTTATAATCAATGGGAATTTTGCAACAACTTAGGAGGTACAAAGTCATTAAATGCATATTGACGATCATCTGTTTAGCAGTAACTTCTATATAAATTTATAATTAACTTATATACATGTTATTTATAGAGTGTCATAGAGAACTTTAAATTGGACAATTTCACTTTATATTTAATGTTTCTTTCATAACTGGCACAATGCATGGGGTTAAGAATACCCCTCGTAAAGCCCTCAGTGGTGATTTGTGATATTGAAAACGGCAACGCTGTCGCGAGCGTATCGACCAATCAAAGAAGAGAACGTATTCTAGGCGCGCAAGGCCGAGTACGCGAAACTCATTTGCTACGCGTTCGTCTAACACGTGCGACCACTGTTCTTCGCGCAGTGACCGTTGTGCGCGCGGCGTCTTTGGCTTCTCCACTTTCGTTCGGCACGCATACTCGAAAAGGGTCCGTCTACACGTCCGCTAACGAGAATCCTTTAATATCAAGTCGATCGCCATGGCAGAGGAGTATCTCTATGGTAAATATTAGAAGCCGTGATATCGTGATCGTCGTGGATATTTTATTTTGCGCCGCACGCGGATACTTTCGACGTTGTTGGCCATTCGGCTCGAGCGGTAATATGGTCGGGACGCCGGCTGGCTTTCGGCCATTGTGACGAGCCCCCATTGTCTCCTAAGAGCCTAACGAACTCGCGTCTTTTACTTAACTATGATGCAACGGCAAGCATTTATTATATTTTGTGTGCGTACTATTGTGATTTGTGTGTCCAGGAATCACCCTCGAAGGACTCAATTGCAGCGAGGTATGGGATCCTGAACACAAGAACGACGACGCAGACGGCACGAACCAACATTTCGGAGCCGATCAGAAGCTTATCATAAAAATGGTAAGTCGAAGACATAAAGGAGATATTAAATTGCTTTGTGCTTTGTCGTTTATCGACGTTCCGCAACCATCGAATTTTATGTACCCTTCCATTGTGAGCGGTAGGCTCTCGTTAACGCGCGATTTTATCGGCAACGAGTTTCCCATCGATACCATGATACACACGTTCGTTTTGGCTGAATTCAGCGATCCTCTGTCTTTTACAAACAGGTTATGGCACCTTTGTGTGTCATCGTATCAATTGTGTATGAATATATGATGAATATTTGGCGTCACTGGTAATCTTGGCTTTTTCGAGCGCTTTCGTCGACTATTCTTATGTTTGCGCGCGAATTTTTAACCACCGTATGAAAGTAATGAATTTCAGACATCCTAGTCGCAGACTTTTTACCACACGAGTTACTCTAACACCTTTTATATACGTCTATAATACATTCATGATTATGAATTTACATGCATCTAAGCATGAAATTGTCCTCAGATTTTATATAAATGTTACGACGTTTGAGAACTTATATAAATTTAAGATATTTTGTCTTTCCGTTCCTTGTCTTTGGTTCCGTTTGGAACTACTTGAGATTGCTTAAGACGTAGAGATTTAGATTCTTTTTTAAAGAATCTGTAAAGATCTTGTTCGATAGTTTCATTCTTCAGTGTTAAATATGTAATTAAACGTAAGAGAAAAAAGAAGTTTACGGCTTTCGACTATCTACTTTGACAATGAAATGCATTGCATTTTAGGTAAGATGGTATACAAATTTATAGGTTAACTAGTTGCGAGCAACATTGATTTTCAATTAGTTTACACGTGTCAATTTCTTATAGGCACTTTTAGGTCCAGAAGCTAAACCTGGAGAGCTTAACGTACTACAGGTTGAAGCAATGGGGTTAAAGGGACCAATTAAAACACCAATAGCTTTGCTGGAAATAGGAAAAACAGCGCAAATTATTCTGGATCTCAGTTTTCCCGACCCACCCGTTACATTTACGTTGGTTAAAGGAAGCGGTCCTGTTCATATAGTAGGGCATAACCTTCTTGGTAAGAATTTACGTTATGCATTATCGTTAACCTCTTTGCATTTATGTATACAGAAAATTGTGTTATGTGTGTGACAATTATAGAGCATGTATCGACCAGAGCAGAGTATTAACGCTTTTTAAAAGATCGATTGCTTTCCATGTTCCGATTAAAGGTTATTTGAAAAAGGGCGATAATTATAGCTGGACGCCTTTAAACAAAAATTTATGTCAACTATAATGTGGTAAATTTTGATACAGATTTGATAGTTTGATCAAATACAGATAAAATAATTAAAATAAATTTTTTAACAAAAGTATTAGACTCCTCTGTTAAATATACATTTTCTTGTTTGTACAATAATGCATTTCAATAATTAAAACTGTCATTTTTACATAATTATTTGTTGGCACAACTATTTTCGAACATTTTTTACATCGGCGTTGTATCACACTTTTTTTGGCGAGTCTCGGAAATTAGCAACGCGAAAGTAAATAATTCCGGGTTAATTTCAATGTTTTAGGTACACACATGGAAGAGTTTGACGATATGGATGATGAGATGGAGGAAGAGAACATCGACGATGACGATGACGATAAGGTACAAGCTACATAATAATTGCTTGATTAACGTTCGCATACAGATTTTTGTACATGTACATATTAAAAGTTTTTTAAACGTTCACCATTGAAGAAGAGATTGTATTTCTAACTGACATTCTGAATAAGCTATATGAAAAAAATGTGACTTGAAATGAAAAAGTATATGCAGAATATTTTCGATGAAAGTTGGTCTTATATATACGCATATATATATATATATATATATGTAGATACACATATATAGAAAATACTAATTTAAAATTAATAATTCCTATACTTTTATTATGTATGTTGTCAGAAGCAATAGTATTACATTTTTTATATACTAGGAATACGAATTTCAGGCACTGCAAAAGAAACGAAAGCATTCTGCAGAGGGTAAAAAAAATGGCACCAAGCGTGCCAGGATGGATGAAGCTGTAGACAAATAGAATGTTAATATTAAAGTGCTGCTATTTAAACATCCTCCAAAACGAGTTTTACCGAGAATATTTTAAACTCGCGTTACTTTTTATATGATTCGGGAAGGGGAGGGCTCCGAAGATTGTCTTAAGGAATAAATGAAAGTCGTGGATATACTTTCTGCGTTTGTGTTCTCATTCCATGTGTCTGTTTTATTTTTTTCCATAATAAATCATCCCATTTTGAAACAGTTGCTTTTATTCTTTACTCATCTTGTTTTCCTCTTTTTCCATTCTTGCGTTCGAACAGTATACTTTTAAGGTTACAGGAAAAGGAGTTACGCTAGAATGTCAGTAATACAATCTTTTGTTAGAAGATTAATCGAATCACATTTATCGAATTGTATATTACAAAAATCATTCAGTTTCTACATGGTTATATTTTATTTATTTCAATATGTTAGGAACCAGACGACGAGGAAGACGACGATGACGAACCCAAGAAGAAGAATGCCAAATTAACAACTGCAGCCAAATACAAAAATCAAGCTAATAAGAACAAGAAAAAATAAGCACGAGCCTTAATACTACGGAAACACAAAAAAACTTTTAAGTTAGGCTAATAAGCGTAAGTCCATCATTATCATCCGCATTTTTGCGAATCTAGTATCGTTTCATCAGATTATCAGACGACATACGTCGCATTTCACGTTTCTACGACACGACTGGACCAACGAATTATCATAAATGTTAATCGTCAGGTTTTATTGATTCATGGGACAGTAACGTTATAACTGATTGACATAATATTTAACACAGAACGAGATCGGCTTAATAGTCGTTTTCGCGTGGTCTGTTTTAGCTGTACATTTCTCGAAATGCCTTGGAGGAATGACCCCTAAAGCGGTATTAGATGAACTCTACGGATATTAAAAATGTGAATCGAAAATTATTTTTTTGACAAAATTTTATGGAGTTGAAAAGTTCAAAGGGCATTCTTCCGAGAGCTGATCGTATACAAGGACTTGTTTTCATCTTGTTGCAATAGAGTCGACAGGGAATCGAGGTTAGAATAAACGCGGAAGTCCGTTGGCTAAAACGCGAGTAATTGTTTTGGTCCAGTTGTTGTCGGTAAAAGCAGTGGAAAGCGCGGATGGACCTACAGTGGAAGTGTATTCGTATTGTTTCCTTTTTGTCTTCTCCGATGCCGTGTTCACACATCGACACTTCCAGTGATATACGAAGGTACACTATTCTAATGTAGCTATGTAAACGCGATTCAACGAATTACTATGTCCTTTAAACAAAATAATTGCGAAGATAACGTTCCAGTGTAATTTATTATTTTCGTGTGTACAAGATGGGGAAAGGGGTAATAGTCACAAAACCCTTATACCAGAATGTTATTAATGACTAAAGAGGGGGGGAAAAAAAATGATAAGATCAGAAACTAAAATAATAATAATAAAAAAAAAAAAAAAACATATGCGTCATCTCGACATTCATTCCATTTGATGAAAGATTACAGAAGAGGGGGTTGCAGGTGTACTACACAACGTGATGCTCGTACATCAATGTTATATGCGATAAAAGCATATGTAAAGCGTGTATTAAACGCGCCCATGCGATTGATAAGTAGTCTGTACACCTATTTTGTACATATACGATACAATAAAAAATTTCACAACTTTTAATCAGTATCGCACGACGTAGTACTTATTCGTCGAACGTCCTTCCTTTTTTTTTTTTTTCCGGCTCGAAGGTTCGTCCTTTAATGCATTACTCGTAGGTTAAAGAAAATGGCGACGTTTGGACGTTCGTCATTTGTCTAATAATTTAATGGAAATTACTTTTCGTCATGCGATCGAAAGAAATTGCTCGTTCATACGACACTCACGGAAATAACTAAAAAAAAGCATGTTGGTGATTTTAAATGTGTAAAAAGTATACATACCCTGTATCTTATAATAAGAACTCTGAAACTGTCTACGAATAAATCGAACCTAAAATTTTATAAATTGACTCAATACCTGAACGTTATTTGTAAATTAAGGTAAGTGATTTTGTTGTAATAATAACGGTTAGTGCATTTTAAAAAAAATTTGATCGATCTTCAGATTCCTCGTTGGTAGAATGTGATATTCGATATTATGATATGCAGAGTATCGGTTCAAGGAATAGTTTGTGTAAAAATCTAGATGCGAATGTTCTTTGTACAAACACAAAATGTCAAATTACCAACGAAGAGTTAGTAGACTTACGTCAACAGGTATGGATAATTCGTGTTATCGTCCATTGATAATTAAACTAATTGAAACGCACGTGTGTTTGAAAGGTGGCGAATCTGAAAGAAACGGTCGTGTCTCTGGAGAACACCGTGCAAATGAAAGACACGCAGCTTCGAAATATGCAACAAGATAACGAAAGGTTATCGATCGAGCTGAAGAAGCAACAAAGATGCGTCAGGAACATAAAACGTAAGGGTTGGAAAGTCTTTGAGTTTATCGTGATTCTTAAATGCATCGAATTAATTTTAGAGCAGTTGGACGACGAAAGGTTCTTTTACCAAAGGGAAAAGGATTACTTCAACGACGAATTGCAGCGACAGAAAACACGATGCGTCAGCGGGGCGTCCAGGTTGCACCAGCAACAGAAGAAACTCGAAGTGGCGTGGGATTCGTTGGAAGAAGAGAACAAGATGCTACGGGAAGAATTGAACGAAAAAGCTGAGACTACGTACAACCTGTGTATAAAGTTCTTACGAATGAAGTACGCGAAGGATACGTTGAGAGAGAAACTGGATCAGCTGTTGAACGAGCATCTGCAAGTAATGACGGACATGATGGAGAAGCTGGACGAGGGCAGAGGTGAACTAAATATCATCGTGTCGGAAAAGTTTCAAGAACCACTCCCTTTGAACAAAGCAAAATTCTTGCGGGTGAATGTTTCGATCGTCGATCAATTTTTTAATTCGTTCTTTGGTTTGGGTAAATAAACGATCATTTTGTTAGGTGGTCCAGAGGAATGCGCGATTAGTTCACGAAAACGCGATGCTCAAAGTGCAAATACAGCAGCTGACTTTGAACATGGAGAAATTGAAGAGTTACACGCAGAAGCCGAAATTGATCAACGTGGATGCGAAGATCATCGCTAAATTAGCATCGCGAAATGGAAGAAAGTGTAGCAAGGAATCAACGAGATGGCTGCCGCTTCAGTAAGAGAACAACTCGATTACGGTTTTAATGCTCTCGCGAAAATTGTAATAAGAATTGATCGAATCTCGCCCAACGGTGTTATTAGATCGAACGTAGACGAGAGTGAAAAGACTGCGTTGCTTATCGAACCCTCGAATCGTCGGAATCCTGTCGATTACTCCGGTGATGCAAAATTAATATCGAAAATACGATCGAATCGTTCAAGAAAATACGCGGACACAACGGTACGGGAAGTTCAAACGGAGGGGACGATAGAGTTTCGAAAGGAACATGCACACAGCGCCCCGGAAATCGCGCGGACGAAAGCTGAACAGAGTTGTTCAACGATCGCTCTAACAGATTCTTTGATCGACTCCCGCGATGCCTCCACGAACACGTAACGGGGCAAATTTGTTTAAAACATTATTGTACATATCTTTTTATACTAGTTTTTGTTTAAAAAAAAAAAATATGTATCGTCTGTAGAGTATAGAGCCTGATGTATCGACTGTACGTTAATGTAAACCGTTTGCGGTGTGTGTTGCGAGGTAGAGGGCGCGTTTGGTATGAAATACCGAGTTTCGTTTCGTATGCTTGTGGGGTTCGAATTAGTTTGGTGTAATCACTTGGCGAGAATGTGTTTGATAATGTTAAATAGGAAGAACAGTGGACGAAGAGGGCTGGAGGAAATCTATTAACGGAGGTATGTAGGTTATTAAACATATTTCATCAGAGAATTGATTATTTCACGTAATTGTTAATTGATGTTGAAATTCTTGATAAGCGTTATTTATGGCTATAGATGTGTAGTACCCCTTGTTTACCAATTTGTGGGGAAAGTTATTGGCACGTGGTGGATAGGTTAGGGTACGGCCGAGAAGTGCCGCCATTTTTGTTAAAGAAGAGGACGTGTACGGTTTAATCGAAACGACCGGTAGTGGCAATTACAGTGTTTGCAGGAGTCATCGATATCCGTGAAAGTAAGGGACGTGGCAAATAATCGGTAGGGCCGCGATACTTATAAACGTCATTACGACAGAGCGGCCGTGATTACGTTAGAACGACGAGACCGCGTGGAAGGGTGTGGGTAGAAACGAGGACTCGAGGAGGAGTGTCGTCGTCTCGTTTCCTCCTGCTTGTTCTCGTGCGCCTTCGGAGCCGGTTCGAGGCGAAGCCAGGTTTTAACGATCGGTCATTAAGTCGCGAAGAAAATTGAGACGTCCACCTCTCGGTGAGCTCATACCCAATTGAGTAGCGGCCTTAATACCCTTTATGTATTATCCGGTAGGCGAAGCACCTTGTTAAACGGATCCGCCATTTCTTCTTCTCACTTCGTGTTGTTCCAGGTGGATCGCGGCTCGATCGAAAACAGTTCTTCGACGATTCTTTTTTTTATCCGCAACGCGTCTCCCGGAGCTTTTCACTTTTGCTTTCCTCGACGTAAGTACCAACTTGGTAAAATGCTTTGAAAATAAATATTGTTTATCGTTTTTTAGGTTCACCAGGTTCATTAGAAAGAAATTATAGAAGTGATTGGATATTTCATCGAGCCTTTTGGGGTCAAAGGCTCCCCCAAGTTGCAGGGTGTACGTTCCATCGAATGTCCAGCTTTATCCTATACCTCGTCCGCGTTGACGCGCGTTTAATCGTCACGCTGACGTATATTTTCTCCGGCGTGTCGGATCTTTGAGTAATGGGCTCGATGTATGCAATCGTCGATCCTGATTATGGATCCTGATTGCAGGCATTAGTGCGCGCGCCGGTTATCGACCATCGGACGTCATGTACGGCGCGAAGCCCAGCATAAATACGCCGCGAAAGACAGCCGAGATCCCGGTAGAACCGCGAGGCGTTTCGATACACGTCGATTGATAGCCCCGCCGGATCGGTAAAGCCCCCTCTGGATTCGAGACGGGCAAAAATCTGGTCCGAAACGCCGCCAAATCGTGCGGACCGATTGGCTCAACTTCACGCATACGATCCTTTCTCGCGATTGGACATGATACGATTCGTGTCTTGGAATAAGTCAGGGAAAAATGAGCCAAGCTCGCTCCAAGATAGCTACCTAGCTTAGTCCTTGCAAGCTAGCTACCTAGCTCACTTCTTGATAGCTAGATACCTAGCTTCCTAGCTACCTAGCTTAGTCCTTGCAAGCTAGCTACCTAGCTCACTTCTTGATAGCTAGCTACCTAGCACAGTTTTTGATAGCTAGCTACCTAGCTCAACTTCACGCATACGATCCTTTCTCGCGATTGGACATGATACGATTCGTGTCCTGGAATAAGTCAGGGAAAAATGAGCCAAGTTCACTCCTTGATACGTAGCTACCTAGCTACCTAGCTTAGTCCTTGCAAGCTAGCTACCTAGCTCACTTCTTGATAGCTAGCTACCTAGTCCAGTTCTTGATAGCTAGATACCTAGCTCACTTCTTGATAGCTAGATACCTAGCTTAGTTCTTGATAGCTAGCTACTTAGCTCACTTCTTGATAGCTAGCTACCTAGGTCAGTTCTTATTAGCTAGCTACCTAGCTCATTTCTTGATAGTTAGATACCTAGCTCAGTTTTTGATAGCTAGCTACCTAGCTCAGTTTTTGATAGCTAGCTACCTAGCTCAGTTCTTGATAGCTAGCTACCTAGTTCAGTTTTTGATAGCTAGATACCTAGCTCAGTTCTTAATAGCTAGATATCTAGCTCAGTTCTTGTTAGCTAGGATACTTAGCTCAGTTCTTGTTAGCTAGCTACCTAGCTCACTCCTTGCTAGCTAGGTTAACAGGTTGACTGCCAGACCAAACTCCTCAAATTCCAAGGGAAATAAAATTTAGTTTACAGAGAACTGGAAACTAGCATACCCATCATTCGTTATTGAATTTATTTTCGCAGACTCGTTAAAATTCAAGGGCCCTACTTAGCTTTATTTAAGCTTGAGAATGAATTTTGTTTAACTCGTTGGTTGAAAAGTTGTGTCACCCATATTGTGGTTAAAATTCAAGGGCCCTACTTAGCTTTATTTAAGCTTGAGAATGAATTTTGTTTAACTCGTTGGTTTGAAAAGTTGTGTCACCCATATTGTGGGTGACGATGGCAGTTAATGTGTTAAGATTAGTATTAAAAACTGTCGAGCAGGAATGATCGTGAAGCGCGCGTAACGAATATCGGAAGCGTAAAAGCGTTGGTCGAGCAAGGCGCATTAGCGAGAGGGCATCCGTTATCGACGATCAGGCGGTGCGGAACAGGGTTGAAACCGGTATAAATATGCCGTCAAAGGACAAGTAAGATGACAGCTGCCGTACATACGTAATATTTCATCGCTAACAAGCGGTGAACGCGCGACGCGGGGCCCCGGTTATGCCATCCATTGTCGAAGATTACATCGTTATTTCATTGTTTTACCGGTCGATTCAAATTCGCTTTTTGCTCGCCGACTCGCGCGGCATACATGAATCAATATGTTCCGTAATAATCGAGTTATCGCGGGATGCAACGGACCAAGAGAGAGAGAGAGAAAGAGATTCTTCATTTCTCCAAGGAACGTTTCACATAGTTTTAAGTTAGTCATAGCACAGAATGTATCGCGATTTAATACAACTGTTATTTGGATATTCCACGTTGGAAGGTCGTGTGTCACGCCGCGGCCATTAAAGCGTTAATGCATGCGTTCGTCATTTGCCTCGATTTGCGTCAGCTGTTCCAGAATCAATTAGCACGTAAGTTACGATTACAAGCGACGATTGTTATTCCCCGTGTGTATTGTCAGCGATTATCGGGAGACATCGGGATCCGGATGGCCAAAGGGACCGAAGGATCCCGTCGATGGGTATCGTTTACCTAGCGAAGCTTAATTTTCTGCGAACGGCTCGCGATTCGAAATTAATTAGGTCCTTTCGCGAGTAGGCTCGCTGGGAAGGATATCGAGCGTCGAAGGGTGGCGGGGACGAGACCAATCGTGCGCCTTCATTGCCCTCGACGCGTTTCAGGCCGTGAGCGTTAATTGGCCGGACCAATTAATTCCAACAAGTTCGCTCGGTGCGATTAGTGCGCGTACGTGGTGGTGCGGTGTGATGGCGAGCACACACGTCCTTCTCTCTCTCTCTCTGTGGCTGTGTGTGCTCTGTTCCGAGGTAACAAGCGAAGGCAGCGGACGACGATCTGCCCCCGGAAAACGAAGAACCTGTTCAAAGCACGGTGGAGGTTTCTCGCATTCCCGGCTGTTCCCGCGACACCAGATACCGTCGTTCCATCGGCCGCCTTCGGGGAATAGGAATAGGAATCGGACGCAATAACGAAAACACAAATTACGGGAGCACCGTGGCACCGCGGCGATCGTCTCCGTACGATAATCTACTCGGGATACTCCCGGTGGTCGGGGCCAGGGATTATTAAAACCCTCGACGGAGTTCCTTTTTACCTCGATAATTGTTTGTTTCCATTAACGGACGGGTTTGTTCATCGCTAGTTCACTCATAATCGCGTAATTGCCGCCATATTGTTACTTTCTTTGCGATCCTGTTACAATTTAACAAGCTAGAACGCGATAAGGCTCCGATAAGAATGTAAACTCGTGTACATTTTCACCCGGATGGCAAAATAATATTGTAAAAATTTACTGCGAACCGCTACCATGTAAAGAATCACCCCTCCAAACGTTCACGTTAAAGGATTTCTGTAATTTTTGTGGGGGCGTGAGACTGGAGCGGGACTTCCTGGCATTTGCCAGGTCGAAAACCCCGATTTAGCTGATGTTCCCCTATATCTGGGCTTCTACCTTGGTAGCGATCCGGTGCAGGGAACTTCGGCGATGTTGGCGGACCTGTTCCGGTCAAATCCACTCGTCTCACCTCCTCGTGGGGCCCCTGGGACCCTGTGTTGGACACAGGGTGCGAAAGAGCGAGTGGTACTCAAGCAAGAAGTCAAGATCCAAGAGACTAGATCCCCAAGATGGATCCTGTATCTGTACCTACTCTAGAGAATAGTTCCTAGTAACCCCTTGGTATGTGTGAGCACCTATATGAGATAGATACTTAGCTTTGGTTACAATACTCCTCTCACCTCTATCTAGGGACCCCTAGGACCCCGTATTAGACACAGGGGTGCAAAAGAGCGAGTTATACTCAAGCAAGAAGTCAAGATCCAAGAGACTAGATCCCCAAGATGGTTTCTGTACCTATACCTATTCCAGAGAATATTTCCCAATAATCCTTGATATGTGTGAGCACCTATATGAGATAGATACTTAGCTTAGTTCACGATACTCCTCTCACCTCTATCTAGGGACCCTAGAACCCTGTATTAGACAGAGTGCAAAAGAGCGAGTGGTGCACAAGGAAGAAGTCCAAGACCCCAGAGACAAGGTCCCCAAGATGGCTCCTGTAGAGAATAATTCCCAGTAGCCCCTTGGTATGTG